TCTACTCGTGAAAAATCTATTCCGCCAAATTTTAACACAAAACGGGTTCAGTCAACGCTCTCACGACTTTAAATAAATAATAGCTTCATTCAAAGTTTTCTGTTAATTTTGCACTGTCTTAATTAAACTTGGTAATTGTTTTAGAACTTAATTGTTTTTACATTTTTTATATTAACTTGTTCTTAAACAGTATGGCTGATTGAAACTCACTCGTGTATAGTACTTAATTGATTTTGGAATCACAAGAAATTTTTCAATGGAACTTTTTTGTAATAAAAAAAATAATTATATTTTACGTTTTAATATTGTGAAGTCATCAATTGTAATTCATAGGTAACAATAATTCAATTATTACGCTGTACAGATTCATTATATTTATGACATCGTCATATTAAACTGACTTACAGATTCAGCCTCGGATAAATCATCATCTTTTTCATCCAAAAAGGTTTTATACTTATTTTTTTAATCAAAACTTATTGGCTGGACATAAAAATGTATTTGTTCCTTTCAAGGAGCTAGTGACCAAACTGATGATCAGTCTATCCATGGTGCATTGAACTTAGTACGGTCAAAAGCCTCGTAATGCGAACTCTGAACATATTATTTTCATGTAATTTATTTTATCCCTGCACTTTATAGCTGATTCTAAGCCGGCTTACGTTTACTTTCGTTTCATATATAACAAATGTATATATGTATACATTGCTCGATACATACAATGTAAAATACAAGTATATTTTTAATGGGTACGGAAATACTTTTCTGTGTTAATAGCCGTGTTTTAATTTAAAATGTTATAGCTTACTTTAAGTATAACAGCTGAGACAATATCTGTACTTCAGCTATTGAGTTCAACTCTAACAAACAAAACACTTTCTAGTGGAGTCCATGAAACAGAATTGTTATTGAGACTTACAAAAATATATATTAATCCAAGAGAAAGGTAGGACCCACTGACATAGTTTAAGATCACTTTCCTTGTGACTATAGTTAGTCATCAGTGTCTAATGATGTATATTGTCTCGCTAACAAAATAAATATATTATTAAAATAAATTTAAACTAGTATTTCATTTTTATTATAATAATATTATCCTGTTCATCATCATACACCAGAAATTTCATGGTTAACTTTCAATAATAACAGTTATCAAGCTCAACATGAGTAGATAAGATTTTTATGTCCAAAAAGGAAGTAAAATTTTGTGAACCATCAATCTTAAATCAATAATCGTCCAAAATTTTTTACTGAATTGCTATAGCGGTCAATTAAATTCGATAAATATGCTATGGGAACCAGTTAAGTCAAAAATTCCTATATTTATGTCATGAAATTGTTAAAAAACCTCGCAAGGATGATAATAATCACTACTAAATAATTATAAAATTAAAAACATACAAGAAACGGTATATATTTTTACAGATCAATCAGTAAGATTATTATTAAAATTAAATTATTTTAAATATCAACCCTAAGTTTTGACTCGTTTAAACTAACATCGTTAACCGGAAGACGAGGTGATCTCATCTTAAAAATGAAGAATATAAATTAAGAATGACTTAAGCTAGATTGCTTTTTAATATTTTTTTTAATTATCCGAAAAATATAACCGGTAGAACTTAAAATCTATACAATTTGTAATTACACATTAAACTCCTTCTTATACGAACTCATTTCGATCTTATCTTTAATATAAAGTATGTAATTTAAACAGTAAAAAAAAAATGGCGCTTCAGAATTTTGAACTTCATTCCCATTTAAGAAACAAAGATCTTTTCCCAAGATAATAAATTACAGAACGTTTTGAGAATATATTCTTCATGTGTGTTATCACCCCGAAAATCGTCATCATTCTGTAATGTAACTCATTTTTCACAAAAAATATTACTTTAGTCATGATAAATACACAAAAAGAAGTACCTCGGAAGTTTTGGAAATAATTTGCTTGAAGCGACAAAATCTTTTGAATACTAACCCGTGCTTAGCATAAAAAGATGTCTTGGAACTGGATGTAAAAAACATTAATAGTTAAATAGAGACATGTATCATTAGACATCTATAAAACAAATTTATATATCATTATACGTACTACAAATCATTTTAATCAATAAAAAAAAGTCGTAAAGTAACTTTGATTGAGCTCAAATACGAGTATAATTTCAATAATTCCATTCGTTCTAACATTATTACAATAACAAAGCTAATTTATTTATCTCGCCATATGTAAAACAGAATAAAAAATATTAATGAATATATTAGCCATTTAATAACAATCATTACTGCATGATCAACATTTTTTTTAATTATAAAACAAAGTACTATAAAAAGGTTTTAATGTGTGGTTAAGATCGTACGTAATAAGAATGTAAAGTAAAAATCACTGCTAATAAATCTCAAAAGCTTATTTGTATGAGTGTAACATGCAAGTATTTTACTAACCGGCTTCCTCAGGGCCGGCTGTTGCACTGAAGATGCTCTCCACGAACGTAACACTACATTACGATTACAACAAAAATTAAACATGTTTTTAATCTCACGTACGCTATTTTTATATAGACCTGTTGGACATCGACAAGTGCTTCTACTCGACTTGGTATTGAGAACATAGCTTGTATTACTTTTATGCCAGCTGAGTTAAGCAAGCTTACAATCATTTTTTTACACAAAAAGCTTCGATAATTCAGTAATTTTACATAACCAATATGCTCTAATGTTAAAATAAGTAAGTAACACTTAGATAAATAAAGTTTATACACAGTTACATGATACTTGACCTCCGGCTATTGAATTGTATTTGGACAACGAATTAGTTGAATTGAATAGATAAATATTTAATTTACCGTAACTTTTTTTATTAATGAACCGTAATAACTCGTAGGACTACAAAGAACTCAGTCACATAGTGTGATTTTATAAAATATAAACATAATATTACTCATAAATCATTCGCCTTAATTAAATATAGCATACAGCATTGTATAAAAATGCTATAAAAAGAGCAATGATTGCGCGCGTGCCGGAGATTCACATTACATATTCGCTGTATCGGTAATTAGAAAAAAACGCGGAAGTTCATTAATGATTATTTCATCACGGGTTCTGGCAGCTTCCTATATTTTTAAGTTACCTTACAATAAACTAAGTATAACTAACGAAACCACTCTCAGATTAGACATAGAACATAGCTTTGTTGAATACTCAGAGCTAAGATTTGCTGCGCCTCATAATTCTGTTTACACAACGGTATCTATCACACAAGATCTATTTAATATCACGAATATTGGTATCCGGTTTAAATTAACAGAAATATATAGAAAGAATTTACTACCGCATCACAACAATTATTCTAAAAATTCGTAATAAACGCTGAAGTACGTAATAAGGAAATGTTTCGACGAATTTTTTATGTCATAATATTTAATAAGCATCTCGTTATGTGTAAGATGCAAATAAAATTAACAGACAAAGCCCGGAAGTTAGTAAAGGAGACTGAAGGAAATATATATTTATTTATTTTATAAAAATATTAAACATGTTTGAAATATTCCAGTTCAATGTTTATTTAGCACCGTTACAAACTTATCGCGGGAACAGCGGTATATATTAAATGGCGATTTGGATCACTGGAGCATAAATATTAACTTTTTATCATATCACCATATAGATGAAGTTTATGGTTGTTATGGAAGGCGTCTTAATTTTTTTCAATATACTCAAACAACGGACGTTTAAAAATAATATACAATCACACTATCTCGATAACAAAAGCTAGCTGTAGCTTTACATTTGTTCTTGTCAAATACAAATAAATAAGTACAACTGTAATTATTTTTGCATGTATGTATATAAGTTATTCGTTAATCCAAAAACTATTGAACGTATTAATATTCTCTTATTACATAACTTCTCTATGATACATCCTATATAGTCATGATTTTCCCATGATAAAAATCCTTATGAATAAGCTGTATTAGTGATGGTAGACCAATATGACCACAAGCGTGTTTCATATTATAATATAATATTCTGCATATCATTAACGTCAGTATCTTATCTAACGGGACGCCGGCTTCGATATTCAGTGAAATGTCAAAGCGGTTTAGATGATGGATAACCTAATTCCTGTTAATAATTCACTGTCTCACTCCACTCTGTCCAATATAATCAATTAATACCCAATTTAATCAATTCGTATGGCTGATGGTATCATCTAATTTTAACGGTTCAATCTATTTGGGGTTAATATTAAATGAAGATGATTGTTATATGGTTTAATATTATATTCTTCTCCCAAAGAAGTGTGGGAATATTAGAATATTTCAATGTAATTTTAATACCTAACTTAATAATAATAAGACTCATTTTTTTGTTTCATATTTTATATAGTTTTAGGTCAGAAGTTATGTATCTATTTTTATATATTTATATTAGGATGAAACTAGTTTGTTTTCATGTTTTACGTCGTCGTTTATTCACCTTAACAATTTCGTAGAGTACCGTTCTTGTAACGGAATCGACCCAACGGCCCTAAGCCTTTCGCCTTTTACTTCTTTTCTTTTAAACCGAAAAGTTCTTTATCCACCGCGGTCCGTGTAACTTTTGTGAGATATCCAAAGTTCATTGGACTCTGAACTTAAAAACAAAAGACTGACGGATATATATTTTTTTTGTATCTAACAATTATAATTGTTTCTTTTTTCTAAACAACTCTTTAATCAAAACTATTTAAGTAATCATAGTTATACATAATTTTTCAAATTGATTTAAATACTAAATTAAACCACGATTTTGTTATAATAGATTAGATCAAAATTATATTTTTTTTTTTCAATGATTATCCAAATTTATAATAACATGATATTTACATATCAATTAAATAACTATTAATAAAGTTTGCTAACAATATTACGATTTAAATCACTCGATTTTTGCAAAATTATGACCATAATGGGTCGGTAAAAAGTGCAAAAAACTGTATAGTAATATGTAATATTTACCTGTGGTCTAAGTGTGGCGTGTCTCGAGTAAAAGTCGTGTTGGTAGAAATTAGCAGGTGACAGTGGCGGCCTGTACTTCTTGTGGCCGTAACCTAGAGTGTCCATTGTATGCATATTAGATACTAGTCCATCACTGTTTTGGCACACATCACATCATTCTGCACTGTAACAAATATTATACATATTAATATATAAACATTAAATTCTTACTACTGAGTATAATAAACTAAATTATTGCGTTATTGTAAGCTTCACTTGTATCTTGGTTTGCATGTTATCAAAGTCTTTCAGATAGATTTTGCACTACTTCTAACGATCCTTTTTTTTGTTTTAAATAAAAATAAATAAACGAATAATTGAATAAATAAAATTACAATTAATAAAATTACATATACTACTGTTACTTAAATTATTTAATCTAATATCAATGATATAACATATTAATAGATTAACATAGAATTACAAGATAATTTTCACATATAAGTTAATATATATTTCAATAGACAGACTATACATATATTATAAGAAAAAAGGCCGTATATGAAACTTTCATCAATTAGAAACGATTGTAAGTCCAAAATGTGTATGTTATATTAAAAGAATCTTATCAAAAACAAAGGTACACATACATATATTGTGGCTTGTAATTGTCAGTTCATCCCGGTTCCTGTGTAGTTCCTGTCTTGCATTGTTAAAAAGGAAGGGTTCGCGTGTTTTGAATTCACAATGGCTACAACGGATAGCATGTCCTATAAATCCTTCACGGTCGGTACAATAATCAGTCAACCACACAATGATTACTATAAAGATTATACGTTATACTTAAATAAACAAGAAACTAGTGCATTTGTTTTTGTTCTAGCGTCTGACATTTTCAAAAGTCCGTTATATAGGAATTATATATAAAAAGTGTTTGCTAATTTTTGTGTAAATAAACGAATGCTTACCTATATATAGCAAAAAATTTACGTAACTAAAAAAATAAATGAAAAGTATTAATCAATATTGTCCTCTTTATTTGTCTTAATACCTACACATACAAATAAAACCAAATTAGAAGTACAATATATATAATCACATTTGTTTTCGTTATTCCATTTTTACCACATTATAACAAATAGAAAAATTTCTGTTTGAGAACTCCCCTCATTTTGAAGGTGTATGTTTAGTTCTCAGAGTGCATTAATTTAATTCAAGCCACCTTGCTTGTTTACTCACTAAACCTGTTTAATAATCTTCTAACGGTAAGATACGAGACCCAACTTATTAGCATAATATACATGCGAACCTACAACTTTCTTTTTTATTGTATATATGTATAAAAACTCTATACTTGAATTATAATGATAAAAGAAACAAGATAAATCATTTCGATGTACTGTCACAAAGACAATTCTTTTCTAAATCCATCGTTTATTTGGTCCTGGAGTGCATTGAGTTTTCGACTGTCCTTACACATACTCTAACAAACGAAACACGACCCGGTGTTAGTTCGATCGGTCAAATACCTCTATAAATAAGATAAAGTAACTGTTCTTAGCAGCATCCAATTTCTTTACATGTGACAGACTCATGCCGCTTAATTTGAAGAGCAATAATGTTATGTTAGTTTTTTTTATTTAAAGTATCTTTATTTTGACTATAGTTTTGGTTTATAGTAGATTGTTTTGTATGATTTTTCCATATTTATTTTTGGTCTTGATCTTGAATTTTTTAATACTCAGCAAAAACTATGGTTCTATACCCAGCCTCAAGTGGGTCTTAAATTCTTTTCTGTATAACGATATTTCTGTATCAATTATTTCAATATTAACTAAGAATCTCCTTTTTTTTAATAGAGAGAAAAGGAATAAGAAGTTTTAGTTTCAGATCACTTTTATTGTTGAAATTTGTTTGAAATGCAACTAACAAAAATAAAAATTAGATTACATACTTGTATGAAATTTTCCTTTTATTTGTAAAGCCATTGTTTATTTATATGTATGTACATATAATTTTTCGCCTGGCCTCATTCCATGGCCATTCATTGCACTAACTATTTATGCTGTCAATATATATATTTTTATTTTAAATTGATAAGATACATCATCTGTTATTATAAAATTAATAAAAACCGATGTACATTAATTGTTAATAGCCATAACAGGAAGACTTGTGCCGATAGATACATCGTAAAATGTTACTACATCCTGAAATATACATTGTAAATTGTAAGAACAACAACTATTGTTTAGTATCAACAATCTTCTTCTACCTGGCAATTTCCCAGCTTTAGCCAGGATCTGCTTTACATGTTGTGAATAGTTTTGGCTAATTATTTTTACTATCGGCCGCCTGCCTGACATCAACCCTCTTTGGAAATGCATTAATCAGCGATGTCTAAATACTCTTAGAAAGTACATATGACTCGGAAAAATCACATTGGTACTCGCCTGGGCCAGGATCGAACCCGCGCCCTCGTGATTCGAGGCGGTCCTTTTAACCACTAGGCCACCACTGACTAAAGTTTAGTATAATATAATTAAAGATTTTCTTACGTTATTGCTAAAACCTCTATAACTCGACAATTAGAACGCATATTTATCCTTAGACCTTTTAACGCGGCAATAACAGTATGAGATGTAATATAAGATGACATTGGATGCACAGAAAGCCTCTTATACGTGTTAAGTTTACGGGTAGTTCAAAATGTTAGCTCGTTAACACGTCTCATTGCTCAAACAGAGCAAACCTTGTCTGACTCACGCACCGTGGGAAATGATCACTGATTGTTTATCAGACCTTCGTAAGGCAGTAGGCAAATTAAAAACATAAGAATATGTACACGGGTTCTTGAGTCAACAGTGAGTATGTGATTTGCGAACCGCTTGTGGAAACAAAAGAGTTAAAACGAGATTCCTCGTCGAGTGTTCGCTATTATTTACTGAATTATTTTATAATGTAATGACACAAATATATTTATTTTATAACAATAATGATATCGTACATAATCTTCTATATATATAAAAATGGATTGCTGTTCCTTAGTCTCGCTAAAACTCGAGAACAGCTGAACGGATTTATCTTATCTTAGTCTTGAAATGTTCGTGGAGGTTCAGGGAAGGTATAAAAGCTGAAAAAAATAGATTCATTACTGGGAAAACCATAAAAACAGCCCTTTTCTATTTCCCATACAAACGTTTTTATTGACATTAGATTTGACAACTAACTAATATGTCAATCATTCTGTCGCACTTCAAAACACGGCGATTTATGGCTTACAGATAAACTCCAAAAATATAAATAAAAAGACGTAATAGATATTTCTTGATTATAGGGCGATACGAAGTTCGCCAGGTCGTCTAGTATTAAATAAAAGTAATTCGATTTTCTATGCATGTTTCTATGAAACACAATCTAATAGCGAATTTACAAAAAATATACTCAAGTAGTAAATAGATATTCAGTATTTTTATAGGAATCGAACTTCTATATATCACAAAAATTCAAATACTACCAATGTTGATGTGTTCTTAGATTACTAGACTAATCTTAGATTACTAACAAACGTAATAATTAGATCAGTTTATGGAAATATGTACTATGTTCTTTTATAACTTTAAGTTCATTTCTTAACAAATATACTTTTGTAAACAATGCTAAGTTCAATGATTGTCAGCGCTGTGCAGCGACTACAAGCTTCAATGTCAATGTCGATACTATTTGACTACAGTATGCGTAGTGTGAGTTTATGAGTGACACTACGTGCAAAAACATATAAATGTCAAAATAAAACTTCGTTTTATAGCGTGGTTGTGCTAACTTATAATAAAGTACAAAATTATTGTTTTTCGTGATACAAATCCTACATATAGAAATTATCTTTAAAACATTTTGCGTCGTTTTTCATTAAAAAATCATGTCTCATGGAATTAACGTATTAATATTGAAGATGGTTTCTCTCTGAAGTACTGAAATGAAGAGAATAAGTCGTTTAAATGGTTTTCTCCTTTGCAAGCATAATTCACTTGTAATTTATATGATCGGCCACTGGGTCAGGCCTGAATAATAGATGAATATTCGCAGTTAGTACTGTCAGTGGTGCTTAAATAATTCTAAGTGGGTGAAGTAACGCGAAACGTTCGGAATTCGGACATATACGGTACACGAGAGCGTTTCACGCACTTATAAATAAATAATGGTCATTGTTAAACGATTTATCTGAATTAGAAAAAACTTTAGGGTTTTACAGAATATATTTTTGAATTTTACGTCACATAATTCATAATACTATAATAATTAAGAATCATATCATTTTGTGTTCATTTAAATTGTTTATTTCAAATAATAGCAGCAAACTTTGTATTTAAAATAATTCTTTCTGTTCGGAGGTTGAAATAAAAAATTCAATGGAAATCCAGAAGCAAAAACTAAAACGCTTTAAGAGCATCACAGAACACAATAGACAAAAGATCGGTTAACACTGAATACAACGTGATCGCCAGCTTAGTATCAACATAAAAACATTATAAGCTTCAAACAGATTAAATTTAAATACTTCAAGTTAAATTCCCTTATACAAGTATTATCTTTAAACATATCCAATGACGCCATACAACATATGACAATGACACTATCATCTAATACGAAGATTAAGTGTACAAGTGTTTATAATATTTGAGGATATTTATCTGAAGATTTCCTTATACCATCACGATCATATTTCTGTGGGTCATGTTCGAACCTTGATGACGTCACGCCGTCAGGTCTAGACCGCTTGTTATGTCAATTACCTAATAGCGCCGTGATAGAGATCGCGCTACGTAATCGTGTGTTTTAATGTAAATTACACATATTTATGTGTGTTCATTAATAGCTTCGTTTTTTTTCAAGTAAGACCAAGACTCGTTAAAATTCTGTTTTACCTTGCAGTGGTTTTATAAGGAAATATTTGTGTTACGAAATTATTTAACATATTTATGTGTAAAAAATATTATTTTATTTATTGAAGGATTTATGGTCACCTACATATTACATTTCAAAGAATATGAAAACTATCTAAGAAATAAGAAGTATAATATATTTGTAAAAAATACTAATTTTAAACGTTATACTGAGATATAATTTCCACTTAAATAGAATAGCGTTACTTCTCACATCAGAAGTAACGTGACGGATTACTACAACAACGGTATACGTGACGTAAAAGAAAAAGTTATGCACAGTTTAGTGTCGTTGGGAAATTAATCATTAACATTGAATGGGTAACAGTATATGTACACGTAATACATTAATACAACGAACTTGCCCTTAACGGATAGTAAAGATGACGGATGATATGTCAATTATATGATGACAGTTGAAAACTGGTTTGACGTTTAACTAAAATGAGAAAAGAAACTTGTTCTTAATCATTATTATTATAAAAATTATATTTTAATACGTTCGTGTAATAATCTAACAAAATTTTATTATAACTTTCATATCAAAATTGTTTTTGATCTTTTGTATCGTAACAGATTAAAAAAAACCTTCGTTACCTTCACTTCAAGACGTCGGTAGCGTCAATTTTTTTAATATTTGAGAGCACATCAAAAAGAAACGAAAAAAAATAACAGAACACAATTTGATTACTTATAATATTTTTAAACTGTAATAGATATAAAAACTCCTTGTTCACAATATTTTAGTTTTTTTTTTTTATAACAAAAGGAATAAAGTAACAAGAAGATATAAACTCCCACAAAATAGCAAAACCATATTATTTAGAATCAATCGAAACATCAAATAACTCTTTATTTACAACTTTATTCATTATGGAGCGGAAATTAAATCCGAGACATTTTGGAAGTTGACAAGTTCAAGGATTCATAATAAAAACAGTGTCGAAAATTACGTATTTGTTGTAAAAAAACCAGTTGCTGTGACTCACGGAATAAGAATATCAACCGGTCTCCTAATTGATAGACATTACTTGCGGCTAACGGTGCTGATGCAGACTTGATAACAAAAATCCCGTCAGAAGTAAAGGTCAACTTTATCTAGTGGACTGATGACCTGTATTGAACAGAAGTTCGTATCCTCACACTACGTACTAGTAGAGGATCCATACTAAAATCTTCCTCCACTTAACAGACAAAAAAGATGTTGTATAGAACAAGATAATTTTCTAAATATACTCGTATTTAGACTAAGCTTGGTTGGTTCCATATTGGTATGGAAATTTTATTTTTAGTTTTTGTTTAATAAGGAGTTCGGTGAAGGAAGTTTTAGTACGGAATTTAGACTATACGAAGACTTTCCCGTTTATAATAAATAACCTACGTTAATACTTCAATGTGACAAGATTTATGAATGAAAAACTATTAATACTTTGTATTAAAACTGATAAAGATTGCTGATCTCTGGCTTGGAATCGTTTAGACATTAAAATTGTGGAGGCTTATGTTCTATAAGAAGTCTTATTAATAAATCTTAATAATAATATCTAAGATTTTTCGTGTACATTTTAAATGACACTACTATCTCTCCTGTTTATTTCTGATCATGAATGCAAGTGACAAAAACGTTAGAAACATGTACATATGTTGAGGTAAAATATAAACGTATAGTAACGAAAAGCTTTGTTTCATTGGAAATACTTTTGCTTTTTTTGACAGAACTATAAATTAATTTTATTTTTGATCACAACATCTAGTCCTATCTTTTTTTGATATCCTTGAGTGGGTTCTTAGAAAATATTTGAAAACCGTTACGAGCACGTGATTTAAGAAGTTCTTTTTCCAAATCGTTTATTTTTACACGTTTAATATCCATATATATAAAAGATATCGAAAATTATTATGCATATTTTAAATAAGGTTAAATATATTTAGTTATAACCGAAAATCAATAAAACCTAATGATCTGGATGCTTTAAGTAATGTTAAATAAATGCATGAAAATTGAATGAAAAATAGATCATTTAGAATTAAAATAAATAAATTAATATTATTATTCCATTTACAAATGAAAACATCCCGCCAAATTTCGTCGAAGCCAAAAAAACTTTATCAAGTAAATCTACTTATTTCTTTGAATAATTATGAAAAACATTTAAATTTAATAAAATTTTAATTTGAGTAATATGTGTTTTATACACATTTTAAAGCCATAATCACGGCTTTAAGTGAATTTCCCGAGAAGTCTATCACTATAAAACACCTTTATTTTGGGGAAATTTTTGAGAACTTGCATATTATTAATTAATTTAACTATATACGATGTCTCTATCTTTTTGCTAATTTTAAATCATGAAATGTTATAAAAGACTACATAAGGATTGTGACGTCATCACGGCTTTAATCAAAATCAGAAATATTTATAAAATATAATATTAGGCACAAATATAATAATAGAATCTACAGAGGTAATTATAAAATCAATATTGATAACCCATCATACAATTGAACTGAGTCAATGTTGCTTAACCTGTTGGTCAGTCATTTAGAGCTTAGTAATCGAATAAGGGTTGTTTTATCTACTCGAAGCCAGTCAGAATAAATAGACAATATACTGAAACCCGTTTAGTAGCAGGGAACACGACTTATCATTGCTTGAGGAACATCGTTGATGTCTTCTATGAGATACTATTATACGCATTACTCAATATAATTACAATACGAAATGAATCAGATATTATATATTTTTAAATAAGACATATAATTCTTGTTATTTTTTATTGATTTCCTCAGTCGTCAATATAAATAAAGATATTTTTATATTAATATTTGTATCATTTAAGAGAAATGCGTGTGTGAATTTATATATTTCACAAATTGGTACTAGTTTAAAATTTGTCATTATTAACCTACATTAAATTTTCTTTACCTTAAAATAATAACAATAATTATTACTCACCTCAAAATAGAAGTTGAATACAGTGTACACAAACTGTTTTATATATAATACATCAAACACTGCACTGTAGTTTATTTGTTTAAGAACAATTGTGTGCCAGTTGAACGTGTAGTCAGTCAGCTATAGTGACACAACCGCGCGGTCATACTACTCCATGGGGTGTGCGCCTGCGCAGCGTATGAACGTTGAACTGACGCGGCAACCCGCCTCGCTAGAGATGCGCAACTTTCAGCAGCCGGCAGCGCAACGCAACGCCTCTCAAACATAACGGGGTTAGGAACTAAATAAACTGGCATCGATGTTATAGAATATAAACCGCAAAACTATAATTATTAGCGAAAACTAATTTGTTTTACAACTTAAATTATAACGGTGAACCGATCGCATTATAATAACATTTACATTACAAGCGTAATGAATGGTGCAAATGATTTGAATAAAATATGCATCGATTTAAATAAATCGTGATTATACAAGTAGAATAGAGAGAAATGGTACAATGAGAAACTAACGCGAGGCATTAGCGACATCCTGTGAATGTCCTAGGAGGCACGGCCGGGCATCGAACCCTGGCTGGGACGCTGGCCGATCATCAAACACAACGTTAGTCACACACACACGCACACACACACGCACACACACACACACACACACACACACAAAACATTCAATCCCAAATCGACAACTAATACATATCAAGTAACAAAGGAATGCCAAATCATTATCTTATCTATACAAAACAAATTAACGAATGATGACAGAATATCTTATCGAACCTTCCCGTTTCCTGAAAACCATTCTTAAGATACTTTTTAGTGACAATAAAAAAAATGTTAAACTTTTATATCGATATAATTATTTAGATTTAAATACAATTAATAACTAACAAATTAAATTGAGCACGTACTAAGCTAATATCTTATAAAAAAATGATTAATTTAAATCCAAGGGTCCGATCTAAGGCGACTTTATATAAAGTTGCATCAGATCAGTCCCTTTGAACAGGATTTCAAAGACATTTTTGATTGACTCGAACTCCCGTGATGAAGCCTACACGAAGTATTCGTAATATTTGGACTATTGTTCCTCGTAATGCTTTGATATAGCGTCTAATATAAACTGGAAGGCCGTGGGTGTTATCCAACTTAGTCCTGAAGGCATTTCCGATGGTTCAACGCTGCGAGCCTTTCTTCCCACGCTGCGTTCCAAGAAATAATCGTCATATTCTAAACTGTAGTCCGGCAGAATAGGGTTGAACTTCGCATAGTAGATAGCAGATAGGCAGGCGTAAAGGAGCAGAGCGGCGGTAAAAAGCTGAAATGTTTAAATAATAAAATATATTTCCTTGTACCATGGAACTCCATAACTTAAATCGTACGTATTAGATTCTGATATATACGTTTAAAAAATTAATATAATTGAGGAAAATTAAATACATATAAGGCCTTTATATGATTTCTGTTCAAATATTACCAAAATTATATTAATTGAAAAATATTCATATACCATGGAATGGCATATTTATGTAATCGCAAATTTTTAGCGTGACGTTATTTGACCCAGAGAATTGAACTTGGAAGATACAATAGTATTTCAAAAAGTATTAAGAACCTATAAAACTTATTTTATTCATACAACTAAAACATGATTAAGAATCCCAAGTAATTATGATTTGTGCCAAACAAAGTTCGTGCTCATAATCTCCTTAAAGGACCTTTACCTTTGTTCTAAGGTTCAACCAACTAGGGTTAGAATAACTGAATAATATTGCAGTAAAAAGTTTTTGTACGTGATTTTATTATTTGGAAATTGTAAAACCAATTAATTACTATCAATTCTTAATAATTATGAACCGTTATTCGGTTATAAAGAATAGCGTGAGTGATAAAAAACAGCGATCAATCGTCATCAAATAAAAACCTTCATAATTTACAACAACGATTTTTAAATGACTGCTATTAAAATCATCGGCGCTATCTAACATCGATGCAAAACTGCTTCTTGTAATTAATCGTTTTAATAATTTAATATTTCTAAATAACTTTTACTAACATTATAATGAGGTGATATTGTTTATTTAATTTCATATAATATTTAAGTTTTATTTAAGAGTGAATTTAAAACAGAATGTTTAAGAAATATGAGTGTTATATTTCAAGTTCAAGTATAGACAGACTTTACTCGTATGTCCCTAGTCCTACATGGATTCGCACTTCTACTATTCTTATACTAGATAATAGTATGATATTTCTTAAGCTTCGGTCTAAGTCTAATGTTGCAGTTTTAAAATAAATGTGCAAACCAATGCATATATATAAGTAAATATGATAAAAGTTAACCTATTGTAAATTGATTATTATTTATTAGTATCAGTAAAGAATTATGCTTCTGTATCTTGAAACGTCCTCTTAGATATTAAATTAAAAGTAAATGCAATGAGAACTAGGTACTCAAAATAGAATAGGTTTTTTTTTTAAATATAAACTTACAATTAAATATATTCCTAAACATTTATACAAATTTTAAAAGCAATGTTGCAGCACTTAAATACGACCATGAAAACATGTGATGATACAAACAATTGTCCGAAATTGACGTAATTAAAATGTGAGCAACATAAAACAAAAATATAATGTTGCAAATTATCTCTTAGTGAACCTTAAGATAAAAGGCGACATCTTTCAAGGTTTTAAAGCACTTCCTCAAAAATTTACCATAACCTTGATATATACATGTCAATGCTATGTCGTTTACTTAGCTTTGACGTGAAACAAATAGTAAATATTACTTACTGTAGTAGGTCATAAATGACGGTAATAATTATTCGGTACGATGCGCTACAATGCATTTGAGGTCGGAGTCATTTAAATATAACAATTGTTTTGTGACAAGGATTATATCTTCCTATAGTTTTTTGTTACGTAAGTTAATAACTGAACAATTATTATAGCACTGAATTTTTGAATGTTTTTACACGTAGTAAACGTTTTTCGCTGATATTACTTCAGCATAATGCTACTACTAGAAATTTAAATATTTTGTTTGTGTGTGTGTGTGTGTGTTCGATTAAACAAAATTCCTACTACAAGAACTCACCTGAAACACACTCCAGAACTTGAAGGATCCCTCGTTGATGATCCAGTCATAGTATCCCGCCCATGGGTCCGTGTATCTACCCTGTTTCACTGGCTTCGCGGTAGTAGTAGTTTCGTGGTAGTGGTGCTCATCGTAATAGTCTTCAAAACCACGACCGCTCCCCAATGTACCATTCTTGAAATTACCACGACGTAACTGTAATTGTAGTAAAATCATATTGTTAATTTTTGGATACTCGAAAAATGAATTAGCTATTTAATATTTATCTAATCAAAACTGTATTGGTTCATTTCTCGTACACTGATCATATTTTCCATCCAACCCACTTTTAGTCTAGTCTAAATTGACTAAGAGTAGGATATATTTATGTAGGTACCTAGCTCGCGTGTTAAAAACTTTGTTTAAAATAGGCCAACAACTTGGCGATGCCCAACAGCTAGATTCTGAGATTACTGTCTTCACCAACAACCTACAAACTCCTCGTCAGCATGGTAACAAGAATGAGAGTACCACAGATATTCAAGAAAATACCTAATTACCTTATGTCAAGACAGTAACTTATAACAGGACAAATAACACCTTTAAAAACGAAGAAGATATAGACAAAGACTTCAAGACATTAAAAGATATAGGGAATTCTTGAAACTGATAACTGGTTTGACTATTAGAATAATTATTTAGTAGATTCCTTCTCATTGAGTTATTTCATATAAACTCAGTTGAGCCTTTTACCTTCAGTACACAGTAAATAACAAAAAGTTCAGGTAGAAATTATCATTGAAATAAATTTTAAAAACACTGCAAAAGTTCAAGAAACAATATTTGCTATTTGGAAGAAGAATACTTTTAAAAATTTTACATTTACATGACAAATAATTTAAGTATATGTATCTAAGTAACAGTTACTTTTATTTTGTTTTCGCTTAAATACCATTTCTAAGAATTTATCTGCAAGTCAAATCAAGTAATTAGGAATAATACTAAAATACAAGTATAACATAGGAAAAAATAAACTTATCTGTATCATATTTTTATTAACATGCAAATAAACTGTATTCTTTTTCCTATAACAAAACAATAACCGTTCTTTATATCAAATAGGACATTTTAACGTCATAAAAGCAAATAATTTTTTCATCATAATATAATAAATCTTCATTTTGCCTGAGGATAGTCATGTCATGGGTAGTATTATAATTGAATTAACCAAGAGATATATGTCTATTCAAATAAATCACATTTTATTGGTATCTAAATGAAATTAAATTATAATAGTCGATTTGATATAAAAGTCTTTATATTTATTAATACCTCTAGCAGAGATTGGATAGATTATGTTTCTCCTCTGGCTATTTTTAAATGACGTCCGATAATTTTAACACACTCAGTATAAAGTTTAATACGTATTTTTATACATAAAAATCACTGTAATCTAGTAACAATTTTAGAATGGTTTGGAACCTAAGCTTTCACGATGTAAGAATACTAAATGAAACTAATATTTTTCGGATTACTGCCAGACATATCTCGTCTGCCCGTGATAACGGTTGCTGCAAAGTAATCGATAAGTCGGGAGTATGTTGTTTTTAAGACTAATAAAATACACATATAAACTGAAAAATATTAGTATAATTTAAATTAATACTCGTGAAAGTCTTACATATTATAGGATATACTAAAGTCTAAAGATTTTTAAGTAAAAGCTAGGAAGTTTGTTTGCTTGAACATGACAATGATGTGTCCAAACAAGGGAGGTGGCGGCGAGCAATTAGCGCCAACACCCGGTCACCTAGTTCATATTGATACCGTTACTGCCCCTGATACATGTTACTCGCACCCGAACTAATTATATACACTACAACCGATAGTTTCGAAAGTGGTTACTTGGTGATAACCATACAATTACGTTCGAACCATTTAGAGATTATAAGAAAATTTCAGTCAATCAATCCAAAGACATGCTCAGGAGATTTTTTAATAGGTAATTGTCCACAAAAACTATGGATTGAAGCAACACTTCCAAAGTCAATGCTTATTGAGAATACCATAAAAATCTAAAGCCATCGAGGCCTTTAATTGTTTGGAGTCTATAAAATATGAGAAGTCCATGTAGTGGTTACTACCATACAATTACGTTCGTACCATTTAGAGATTATAAGACAATTTTAGTCTATCAATTCAAAAGCATGATCAAAAGTTTTGGAACAATTATGTAGCCTATGTTTATAAATGTCATAGAATTAAAAAACGCTTTCAAAATCAATGCTTTTTGAGGATATCAAAAGGATCCAAAGTCATCAAGGATCTTAATAGTTTGGAATCTGTAAAATATGAGTAGTCTATGTAGTTGTATATTCTTACCTGCACTGCAGTGCTGTTTATTTTGGGACTTGGCAGAGCTGCAGCGGCCCGATTCTTGTTTATGTTCCGTATAACATCAAGGGCTGTCCTGAACACCGTCAGTATCAACTCTGAGGTCGGCATACCAGAACTTGGAGTGTCATCTACATCGTTAGATTCTAAATCTGATTCCTTATTATAAGAATCGCTGGAACCGCTAAAAAAATTATAAGATGTGATTCATTAATATAAATGTTTAATCTACTGTTCATTAGGTAAATTGAGATTTATGGCTAAAGATAAAATCTTTAAGAATTACTTCAACTTTATAATGTTATATGAACATATTTTTTATAGAACAATAGAATGATTTAAATGTTAAATATTCAACGTTGGTCAAATCTTACAAAAGAAAACAAAACAATTATGTATTATGATTGCATTAAATTATAATTTTTATGCGGAAACAAAACAAAATACAAAAAAAAAAAAGTCTTCATCGCAATTTTACTTTTACATGAGTATGAGAGTGAAACTTTGAAATATTAATTTTTTTCGAAAAAAATATAATTTTTTGTACTTAATACTTACTGCAACGGTATATATTTATATTTTGAAGCGGGCGGAGTGTAAGGGGTGGCTGTGTCATATCTGACGGCTGCTCCCACATCTACGGCCCACAAAGCCAGGGCCACTGCACCACAAACGAAAAGCCCGTGCAAAGACATCGTGAGCAAACCCCTCGCCATACTATAAAACTATTTTCACTTTCAGCTCGTCTTTCATGTGCACTGCTGAATGGTGTAGCCCACACTGACTTATTGAAAATGTTTTGTGACAGTTAACTCTTTGAAGGAAGATACTAGCTTATGAATTCTGTAAACACGTTGTGAACGTGTTGCTCTCAAGTGGTAATTTAATTTGCTGTACTGGGTCATTTGAGTTAGGACGAAAAGAAATCTGGTATAAAATATATGTACTGGATTTTTTTTATATTATTCGTATCATAAAATAACATTAAAGATTTTATTCTTTTTTAAATTAAAGATCATTTTTTTTATATTTTCAATATAAACCTTTTTGTATTTTTTTTTTTCGTATATATTTTATCAATTCTGAAAACGGCGACGGTCACAATTTTTCAGTGAAATAGTTTCACTCATGAACACAGCCCCAGACGCGAGTTACCGTATTTCCTCTAATTGTAATAAATCAAATGATAACCTCAAACTTTTATAATATTTACGTGCTAAATGTGCCTTGTTAAAATTCCATTTTTTTGGCCTACATATCTATTTCCAACTGGACTTATTTGTAAAAAATCAGTTATTAATATTTACCAATGTCTTTTAGTAACGTAACGTGGTGTTCCATTAACTCGGGAGTTAAGGTTTTCATATTATTCATGTATATATTATACGTATGCGAAACTTTGCAAACTCCCATAGGATATTTTTGCGTATTTTATCCAGACCAGACATATATTGTATACATATATGTATTCGCGAATTTTAAAGCGCTTTGTGATAATAGAGCTTACGGTTCCCTGGGAAACCATTATCCCAAAAAGCCATACAATCAAGGTCAATAAATATTACGAACTCACTAATGAACTCACTCGAAATAGGTTCGTCGTGGATTTATTCGCAGTAGAAATGGGTGCGAGAAGTACAACAGCTAAATGTCTTTACAACCTTCTAAAAGACTTAGGCCTGTCCAGAAATAATATCAATTCGTTCTTGCAAAGTACTTCTAATGCAGCCCTAGTAGGTTTGTTTCAAATTTGGTTAGGTAGGGAGAGGAGCTTACGTAGGGGCCCCTTAAAACTACACCTGGGTCGTAAGTCCCAGGCACTGTTGAAGCTCCTCTCCCAGCAAAGCGATGGACCTGGCACCCGGAATCCATTGAATGCTAAGAGTTTTCGTCTCATGTAAAAACATGCCATTCAAAAATATATAGTATTGTTTCATTTATTTCAACGGCCTACATTGACTCTCTAATAATGAATTCATTTATTTATAGCACTATATAAACGTTAAATTTATCGTTATATTATGAATTACTACTTCTAGTACTGTCCTTTTTCTGTTATACATATTTTAATGAATAAAATAGTAAATCATATTGCAAAATACAAGAAAAGCAAATAAGATTAAAAAATGTAATTTTATCTGTTTGTTATAAGTTACTATTTAATATATTTTCTTTCAACTTAACGATCACTCAAACTATTATTATCTATCTATGTAATGAAGTAAAAGTTTCGTTTATTCGGTTTCATTGAAATTTTAATTTAATCTTTCAATTTGCTTTATCTACAGAGAAGCACGTAGGCTACCTATCGAAAAAAGCCCAAACTTAATTAACGTAGAATAGCGCAACTTCTTATATATAAGCCAATACTTTAAGCCACATTGGTAATGTTTTTGAAACAATAAGGAAAATAATGAAGCAGTTTAAAATAAATTTTTATTTTAATATGTTAGTGATATTAAAATATTTGTAATAAAACATTTTCTTTCAACTGCTTGGCATAATCAGTTCCACGCAGTTCCATTTAATCTGTTCATTTTTGTCACTTTAATGTTAAATGTCAAATACTTCGAACCTTTTTATTCCTTTTTTTACCGACGTCGAATACAAATCCTGAATTCGATTACTTTCTATGGGCTGTGTTGTTGAATTGGTCCGAAATAAATTGTATTTGAAACATGAAGAAAGAAAATCTCTTCAACGTTTACATGGGCGAGACGGATTTGTGCAAAGAATAATAATAATGCCTTATGATTATTTCAGTAATATTTCTTTAGAAACTTAAGAGATTACGATAATTATATAGTAATTTATATGACTGAATTTACAGGCAATGGAAAGTATTGTAAAATTCGGCTTTTATTTTAATTTTATTTGTTTAATCTATTTATTCAAGCATTCCTTTCCAATTTATTTACATTTCGATGATTTTGTTAGGCTGAAACACTTTCTTCTATCCCAAATATAGAAATAGTTTGAAATCTCACCGTTAATATTAACCAAATATTAAATTTTATACAGCTCTAACTCAGGCTGTTTTATGATATAAATTATACGATAATTACTGTAAAGATACAAAACTATAATTCAATAAAATATTTATAATATTAAAGATCAAAGAAACATCTCTTTAACTTAATAGAAATATTTCTTCGGGGAAATGAATTAGAAATTCTGTGCGTATCTCGTTGAGTAATTTGAATTCTTATTACTTATATATTTCCAGAAACTGAATATTTAATGTATAATTAATATATTAAAAGTTTTAAGCAATATTATTAAATTAAATTATTATAAGCATTCCAGATAAAATATTTAATATTGAATGTATAAAAATAATTTACAATTTTCGTTCTAATCCTATTTTACTTCAGCCGGTTTTTGAGCCTTGATTAGTTCTACGTAGGATAAAAGATATATTTTAAGGTTTATTCATAACAAAACATTTAATATTAAGCAATAAAATTCAAGATACAATCTATATTGCATAATTCATTTTATAACTTCAGAAAGAATTAAAATTTTAGGCAATGTTTTAAACGTAAATCTATAAATAATAATATAAGACTTTTTTTTATTTCAAATTCTTTATTTCACTTTAAACATACAACGTTGCGATAATGAACCGATATTTAAAAATTAAATTATAATAATTAACGAAATAATATCTAGTTGAGCAATTAAATATGTCCAGTTCGCAACGATTAGTTAACAGCTAATCATACTATTATATACAATACATTTGAAGTTATTAAAAATTATCATCATTTAATCAGTTTTGGTTTTAGAATCCATGTATTTTTCTGCTGCTGCCGCTAACGCTCTCGTCACTCTGTGGGTTATGTTGTGTAAATTGTCGTTTGAAAGATATTCGTCTACTGATCTTTTTGTGAAAAACGTCGCGGTGGTAGTATTCGGCCTCCAGCTGTTTGGATAAACAATCTTATGACGCAAAACAGCTTTGATGATTAAAGCACCAACGTACACTATGAAATATACACTGAAATACAAAGGCAGATAGTACAGCTTCTTCCCTAGATAATAATAACTGAATCTGTTCACACGTGGTGTTTCAGTCGTAGTTGTGGTGTGGTCGTCGTGGTGGAAATGGAAGTCGTGAACGTGGTCATCGAGGTCGTGGTGAAATTTAAAATCCGTGGGAAAGTCATGTGGAAAGCCGTGGTCATCTGAAGGCGGGCCATAACTGTCTGGTTTAGTGTCCGTCTCCGGAGGAGGGGGCATCATTCCCATTCCTTCATCATGCATATTAGAGTCTCCATGAGGCTTATTAAATATCAATTCCGGGTAATCAGAATCATGGGTAGGTGGCTTTGAATCATGTGATTCAAAACTTGGCGGGGAACCGTAAGTTGGTGGCATGTAGTCACTTACTGGTTCAGGTTTTTTGTAATGGTACCCTTTAAAGTCTGGTGCATCATCGACTGGTGGCATGATAACAGGTGTCGCTGCAGGCTTATTATAATTATAACCACTGAACTGTTTCTTTGGGGGTGGAACAGTTGGTATAAAATGTGACGATGGAGGTGCAGGTGCGGGCTCGGGTGGACTATAGTCGTAACCCATATTGATCATAGGGCTATCGCTATCTGTTGGGGGCTTATAACGGTATCCAACATCCATTTGGGACCCAGTATCAGGAGGGCCGCTATCCGAATCCAAATTTGGTGAGACATCTATACTCTGCTCGATTGCAGTAGGCGGTGGTTGTTGTGGTTGTGGAGCTGGCGCTGGAGCGAAGTCTGGAGTGGAGGGAGCATAAGGTGGGAATGATTCATAGCTAGCTGGTGGTGGAAAATTATCACCGTAAACTTTAGGTGGTGGGGGAGGAGGGGGAACTAGGTTAGAGGATGCTCTTGTGGGAACTGCAACGGGACTTGATTGTTTTGATACCTTGCTGCCATATTCATTGTGTGGTAAATAAGGGCTGAGCAGGATTGTAACGGTCAATTGGTTGTCCATTATATCCAGTATCCTGAACTTCACCTCTTACAGGATTCTTTAAGTCTGTTATGTGATCTAAACTTGTGTACGTATTGGGTTTCTTCTTGCTATTCTTTGATTTAACTTGAAAAGGTTTCAGATTAATATATGGAAATTTAATATTTTGTTCAGTTCTGATAGCCCTAGATTCATTTTCTGCTCCGTTTCCAGAATTTGTTCCAAACCTATAAACAAAATTAAATACATTAATGATTATTTTTCAAAATTTTATAGATTTTTAATAATTTAAGCAATTGCATTTAAAGTAAATATTAAAATTAAAGTAGAATTACCCTGGTAAAGCAAAGTTATCATCAATATCTGCGTCCTTCTGATCTTTTTCATCACGATCGTCTCCATCGTTGTTATATTTATCGTTATCGTTTATGGGAACATTTACGTTATGTTCTTCATTATTATTATTTGCATCAAACGACAATTCTTCCCAATCACCAGACTGTTGTTTAGTTTTCTCACTATCGATTATGTGCCAAATATTTTCAACATTAACTGGGGATTCGGTTGTCGTGGTCGTGGAAGTTGTTGATGAGACTGTTGTTGTTGTTGTTGGCAGAGTCCTAGGAGGTGTATAGATAGGAATTTGAGGTTTGTTGTAGAAGTCACGGTTGAATGCAGGTTTCGTATTTCTTAAAGTGTCCTCTTGCCTTTCGTTCTTCTCATTGTATTATCAACTTTAACCGGTAATCCATAGTTTACAACTCTGCTTACTTGATCCTGTTCCTCGGGTACGTATATCGGACTCATAGATGTAGATTTTGGCACAATTTTTTCTTTCTCTAATAATTTCCTTATAGATTTCTGCATTTTGCCATCGGATTCGAAATTCCGCAAATATAAGATCTGGAGTTAAAACCTTCGGAGGGACTGCGGTAGTGGTAGTTGTAGTTGTAGTTTCTGCCACAGTCGCGTTGGTTCCTGTATCCATTCTTCTCATCCATTTGTGATAGTAGAAAGGAGCCGTCTTAGCTTCGTCGATTTGAAAATGATGCGTTGCCGGTGTCACCACGTAAACTCGAGGTTTAGGAAAATTTACAGCGTCCACTTTATATTTAAAACACACGAGCAAAGTAAAAATTACTATGATTCGTTTCATCTTGAAACTATTTATGCATTTGTGTACCACGCTCGAAACAGGTGTATCACTCGGTTCCCGGCTCGTAAATGTTAGATGGAAGAAATGACTCCCATAGGCATTGGTTTTGAAATGTCAAATTGAACGAAAATTATGATAATTTATAACGGTTATATAGTATGTAGGACGCCTGAAGCACGAATAAGATGAACGGAGTCTGCTTACAATTTACACTATTAGCGGAATAATCAATGTCACTTGAACTACTATAGAAAGTGTCACGAATATTATTAAAATGTAATGAAATGTGGAATGTTACACATTTTTTCTAGAAATCTAGGTAATCAGACTATTGACTCGTGTCCTAAGCTATATTTTTATGGATAAAAGGCAAAAAAGTAATTTTATACATCGGTTTAATAATGGTTTAATGAAATAAAATCTCCAACCTATATTTATATAATATATACCTAGAAAATATTACGTTATTTTTAATAAAGTTTTTTTATAACTACAGACAGTTTTCACCATTAAGGTTTCATTAGGATATTTTGTGAAATTTAACAGGATTTTCACGTATCGTTTAAGTCAAAACTTAAACGAAAATACAAAAAAAGCTGAGCATTTTTAAGATCATAAAGAGATTATCAATTTCATCTTTTTAACCTTGTATGAAAGTTTATTTCTATTTGTATTCGTACCAAATAATACAAAAAGCTACACCGTCTGAAATGTGAGAGTCCAATACTCATAATATAATTAGTTATATTTTATCTCTACAATCTTGTAATGATAATGTATTAGACTATCAAACTAATTGAAACAGGTTTATATATTTATAATTATACAGGTGGAAAACCCTGTCTGCGAATACTCAGAACAGCAAAATACTATCATCATATCATTAACTAAATTTTATTTTACCATACAATCATTTTATAAGACACGAATCATTATAACTTCAAATTAAAATGTAATTTCAGTCGCTGTTAATATTATAATCATTGTAGTCTGTTATTCTGTACTTGATTTCATCTTGTTGTATAAAGGCGTAAATAAAAAAATATATGGAAATATCCCGACGTTTCTTTCGCTATCGGTTCAATCAATTTACCATTTCAACTGAAATTGAAAGTTACCCTTTATTCTTCTTCTATTCTTCTACCTGGCAATTTTTCCCAGCTATAGCCAGGGTCTGCCTAACATGTTGTGAATGGTTTTGGCTATTTGTTTTTACGACCGGCCGCCTGCCTGACATCAACCCTCTTTTTGGGAATCAACATATGATTCGGAAAGTACATATGATTCGGAAAAATCACATTGGTACTTGCCCGGGCCAGGATCGAACTCGCGCCCTCGGCAACGAGAGGCGGGCCCTTTAACCACTGAGCCACCACTGACTTACCCTTTATTATAGTAATAATAATAATAATAATTGTAATAATCTCTAATAGACAAAGTTTTTTGTTTTAATATAAAGATATTCAATAGTTTTGTATGAATCGAATCTCTATCATCTTACAAAAAATCAAATAAAATTTCTGGCAAACGTTTCTCATTCAACAAAATTATTAAAATATATGATGCAGTTTTTAATTCCACTTAAATAATCGTTGTACTAAAGACTTGAGCATTTATTTCTTGTCAAGTGGTTATCATGTACAAGAAATAGGAATAAAATAAAAAAAGATTGATCGACATTTAACATTTAAAAAGGTAACGTAGTAAAAATAATTGTAGCTTTTTGGAACTTTGTAGCTTTTTGGAACATTAGGAGGCAAGAAGCGTTGGAATGAGAAACGCTGAAAATCAAGCTCAGTAGCTTGCTCTGAAAGAACCCTATATCCAAAAGTGTTAGGAATCCGTCTTTCGTATGTATAAACAAGTCTCTTTTTTACGTGATTTCAATATCTTTTCTTGTTGACATTCTAGAATCTAAAGTAGGTATCTTCTAAAACAGTTATATATTTTCCAAAGAAACATCATTTATAGCAAATAATATTACTCTTCCCTATCAAAAAAAAGTCATATATCCGCCAGTTTGACGTTTATCCGAATAAAGTATGACTGAAAAGAGTTTGGAAATACAAAAAATATACTTTTTTATATTTATTATTATCTAACAGAAAAAGTAGTAACATGATATATATTTGTTTCGCCCAAAAGAAATATGTAGTTACGATAAGTATGTAAGTAATATCTATCTATATGCATTTTACCATCAAGTAGGTATATATGTAAATATACAGTTGATATTCATAAAAAAATAAATTCTTTTACATAATATATATATTTTTCTCGTTCTGTTATTTATAGAGACATTCTGGTGGTAGGTAGTTATAACACAAAATTTAGATATAAATAGCTTATTAAACTATATTTGATTCTGTTTGCTACAGAATAAGGTCAAGATTATCTTAACAAGATTTGCTCAGAAAACTATTATTCTAACAATACTATAATGGATTGTATAAAGCCCATAACTCCTGAAACTTTTAACGAGGCAATGAAAGAGATATTTTGGTACTTTTATATTGTAACAATAAAATAACTTTTAACAATATGGTCATAATACGGAATTACAAGTTAGTTTCATATTCCTACTCTATCCGTGACAAACAAATAAAACTTAATGAAACAGTCAATCTGGAGAATCAAATGAAATAAACATTATTTATCTAAGAACTACCCTAAATAAAGTTGGCGACCAACTTGACGGCAATTTTTGTATCTTTATGTAAACCTTTAATATATCCTGTTACTTTTTATTCTTTCTGTTTGAAAATTATAATGACTCATTATAAAATCATAAAAAAATACAAAACATAACATTTTTGAGTCGCTTTTATTGAAATAAATTAAAAAAAATTAAAGAAAATACTTTTGAATAATGACCAATCATGGATAGTGGATACTTATCATCATAGCAACGGCGTATCGTGACGAGACTTATACAGACATTGAAAACAAAAAATAAACATTAGGAATAGAATGGCTACAACATAATTAATTATTAATATTTAAAAAAAATATATGAAATTATGTAATTCAAATATCTACAGTATCAATTAGAATTGAATATAAAAATAAGTCATAAAGAATCTAGTCTTATTTATAAGTCAATAAAAAAACATTAATAAAAATTACGTCTCAATTGCGAATCTCTTTGGGATTGACCTTTGAGATTACTTTGTGTAAAAGGTACTCAAAAAGTCGGATATATGTTACACACTGGCGATGTCTCACAGACACCCGGGAATTACCTATAACTCTCAAACAGTTACGACGAGGCATGATCTTATACTTATTGACATGTGACTTATAAAAATGTATCTAGAGTTATTTGGAATATATATAGTAATGAAGACGAATAATTCTTCTGAAATTATCTATGTAATACAAATGTAAAAAACCTTCGTATTCTTTAAAACTTTGACCCCTTTTTAAATCTTTTTTTAAAAAAATAGTCTATTTAATCTTTAAAGACAACACTGTGTTATAAAATTTAAAATAACAATGAAGAATCACAGTTTTAAACGTTTAATTACGAATAAATATGTCACAATCTAATCATATGATTTCATTTCACTAAAAAAAAAATGTGGAATCTTTTATATATATCACAATGGCTCAGACAGATTCTTTTTTGTCGTTAGCAGCGAGTTTCTTTTTTTCATCATCGTTGAACGCGTGATTGTCGAAGCCAACGTCACTAGCGCCATCTGTGTTGAAGCTCACCGGCGTTGCTTCTGTTTTAATGTTAAGTGTAGCGCCTATCGCCATGTTTTTTGTCATTTCGTTTCTAGTGTCGACATCTAGCGAGTTATTTTTCTCCGGTTCCTTGTTAGCTCCGTCGCGATTCTCTATGTCAAGTGTTTCAGGCTTCTTCTTGCAGATGTCGTCGTCACATTTTGATCTTTTCCTGATATAGAATCTATTGAAAAGGTAGTAGAAACAGCCGGTCACTAATGTACCAATAGCAAAGAGCTGGTACGTCGGTCTGGTACCAACGAACTTCATTAGATATCCTCCGATGAGACTGCCCGCGCCCTTTCCTGAAAACGAAAAACATTATACATTTACAAAAACGACGACATGCACAAATACTTGGTATATATCGGGTTATTCGTAAAGCAACTTCGAAATCATTTTAATATATGATTGAACATAATGAAACTATCAAAATAATGACTGTATTTAATCGTTTTTAGAGGTTTTCTGATGCAGCTATAGTCCAACAATCACCATCTGCCGCTTGTTTCTTGTCATACATCCTTACACCCTTTCCCCTTTGCAATATACTCACCAACTCCATAATAAAGTCCTCCCAGTAGACCTTGGACTGAAGTGTCCGTGGTAGTTGAAGACAGGCGCGCCGCGTACGTCACAGCCGCGGTGAAAGACAGTGATGACGTCACTGACTCCAGAGCCTCGAAAATCAAGCAGAGCCAGGGATTGTAGATCAGTGAATAGCCTAAAGATTCATAAAACAATATTAAAAGACCGACTTGTTAATGAGTAATGAAATATTTGTTTATTCAAGTCTATGATATTTTAAAGAGTATAATTTACACAGAACACAAATCTGTACTGTGTCTGTTTTAAAATGTTATAATTCTAAACTGCACGATCATTACAATTAGTGTGTATTAATTATTATCTATTTAAAACATCCTACTACTACGCCATACTTGGAAGCATTAGTGAATTATTTTAAATTACATTATACTTATCATAAAAAACACGAGAGAAACTTTTGAATGTATTAAAAGTGTCATTTAAGTTTTAATTGTAAACAAACCATAAATAACATAAGCTGTCTTAAATATTATGCATTTTGTACGAGAAAAGTCCATAGAATTAATTAAACGCCGTCTAGTATAAGAATGTGGAAAATCCAGTATGAAATGAATGCGTCTCTTTAAAATCCTCAGTGTACATTCGTGTATACAGGACTGCAGCCGTTAAACGAACTGCCAATGTTTCAATGACCTTTAGTTCTTGCGGTATTCATTGTGTAACTTAGCTCTATCGAGAAGTATCGTATTGTATTCATATTAATTACAACAACCAATTATATCTTACATAGTTATAGGACTTGTGAAACGCTAATGTTATAACTGATATTTTTTATTGTAATATCATTATTTCCTATATTATTATAGTTTGATAACAATATTATCAAATTATGTAAGAAAAAGATATTAATTAAATCATTTTAGCTAGTAAACATACCGAGTAACCGTATAGCGTAAAAGACAAATCCTATGAAGAGCACATTTGCATGTCCCAGTTTATTAATGATAGGTCCGGATAAAACTAATAGTGGCAGGCCTGCCACGCCGCCCACCGTGATCGTGACGCCCATGAGTGAGCGAGACGCGCCCAAGTCCTGGAGCAACCAGAATAGGAAGCTCTCTATGTAACCCCAAGCAGTACCTAAAAAAAGGGCAAATTAAAGACGATCCATTATACATTCTTAATTACTATTTTGTTTTAAGTTTAATTTCGTTAACAAATTTTACAAATTATGTATTTGCTTATATGTTCAGACGCGAGAGTTTTCAAGGTTTCAAGAAATATAAATTTGTTTAGTTGTCCAGTTAACTTAAGACCAAATCTACAAAGACTGGTTTGGTTATAGTACACTTTCGTTTTATTCAATGAATAAATGTAAATGTTAAAATACGATCAAAAATAATTTTACAGTAAATATTGATTTCGTTATCAAATAATTTAGTGAGAGTTTTTATAATTTATAACAGAAGTAATGCATACAAACATTGATGAACACGATTGAAAATTAAGCTAAATGACTTTCAAAACTTTTTGCACATGTATGAAATGAGATACTTATTTTGAGACTTAAATCCGGTTTGAATACATATTATATGACAGAGTATAAATGTAACAAAACATTATTTAAAAACTTATAGCTTTTTAATAAGATATGGCTACATTTTATTTAGATAAAATAAATTCAAATAAGGTACAAGAACGAACACTTTGTTGCTTGTAATAATTAATTTACTTACCCATAACAAAGCATGCTATAAAAAGTACCACGAGTTCTATGTTACGGAACACGGATATAACATCTGCAAGAAGGTTCTGTGCGGGCTGTTTGAACTGAAGGTCAATGCTCATCATGAGTCCACCGGATAGAACTTTCAAAACAGCATACAGATAAAAAGCCGGTCTGAAACATAAATATATAAACATATGTATAATTTAAATACTTCTTTCGTAACTATTAACAGCACTTTATAAAGAGAACCATAATAACCATTGGACTAGGTCTCAAAGAATTTGCATCTAAATTAATTGAAACATAGAAAGCATTGCATGTATCAAGTCGTTTTATAACAATTTATATTTACCGAAAGTCAGTGTAACCTTTGCCTCTACTAGCATAATCTATGAGAAGGCCAGAGAGAGGAGAAAATATCATCCCTCCAAGACTGCCATACACTCTCTGAAGACCGTAATCTGCCTTTTGATCCCTTACGATTGCAATAACCGCTCCTTCGAACATCGCAAAAGATGTACCTCCTATTATACCAATAAACACACGGACCTACAAACATATTGAACACAAATAATTATGTATTTAAAAGTACGTAGTACTTAGTTATTTGTTAATAGTTTTTATCGACATTTAATAAAATGAAGCACAAAAAATAAAAATCTCAGAACGATGAAGTTTCTAAAATAATAATTTTATGTTAAATAAAATATGAGGAAAATTTAGACTTCTATTTATATAAGTAACTGGCGTTTTTATATAATATTTAAAATGAAAATTTATTATCTATTTATTAAACAAATAAGATGGATTTGCAAGTCTATATGAAGCTGACAAATCAAGAAAATCTGGGACAAGGCTGCGATTGCACAAGTCGGGTGTTACGAAATACTAAGTCAAGCCCAGAGCTTACGAGTTTAGTACAATTATTATCTACATAAATATAATTATTTGCTATTAGAAAAACTTTCAAAACTCTGAATAGGGTATTAATAATAATTTAAATGCTTAATTAATAAGTAAACTTGTGGTGACACATAAAATTTATAGTATTGCTTTTCTCGGAACTCATCAGAACAAACTTATCGTTCCTAATTCATGAATTATACTTTCTAATTTAGTTCTGAGAATATAGAAGATCCGTATTTAAATGTATCCGTATTTTTTATTTTAATTTCACGAAACAAATTTTAGCATTGATTTGTAAAAATATTTTAAAATTTGAATTAAAACTTTTTGATGACTCAAGTCAACGGCTCAGAATTTCTATAACAATCTCTGGACATTAAAATTTCGGATTTAAAAGTAAACGTTACAGATATTTAAATAAGAGCTTATAAAAATAAATGTTAATAGATCTAGCTAAAGAGTCAACTTGTCTAAGATGGATAAACAACATCTCAGAATGGTGAAAATGAAAGTCCATGGAAAACGATCACAGGTAACGCGCGTTTATGACCATGAATATTGTTATACCAACTCTCTGACATAGTTTAAATATAAAAAAAAATTATAGATACTATAAAATTAGAAGATACGTAATCAGTATGTTAATAGTCACCCAAACAAGTTATGTTTACATTTAATATTAAAATATTGTTTGCATATCCGATAAGATTATTTTAACCGGAATATTTTAATGATATTAATTCATTGCATTCAACTATAGTGTGTTTAATGAGATCTAAGATTTTCGCGAGTACTCATTTAAATGAAACTAATGTTTTGCCCGTGATCACGGTTGCTGTAAAGTAGCCGTAACGTCGGAAGTATGTAGTTTATAGTCAAAAATAAAATCGCGTAGTAAATCCGAAAATATTAGTTTCATTTATAGTGTATTTAAATGATATAACACAAGATGTAAGTGTCAAACAAACGACGTGAGACAGTGACAATGGGTCAAGACGCAGAATACCAAGTTCGCTATTATCGAGTTAAGTGACGATTACCAGCCAATCATCTTATCAGCGTATCGGATGTGTACGGTTGTGAATTGAAATTATGGTAAAAATTACATCTGTCCGATAATCTATGGTACGGGAGATGTCCATATATCTTACTTAAACATGTTTATATAGAATGACTTTGCATTCCCAAAGAGGGTTGATGTCAGGCAGCCAAAACTATTTACAACATGTAGGGTAGACTCTGGCTGAAGCTGGGAAAATTTCCAGGAAGAAGAAGATATAGAATGACTTACAGCTAAATACGCCCAGAAGGTAAAAGTAGGGTCAAGTTCAAGTTTTTGTTGAACATTATCACAGAGACTTATCCTTGGAGTCTGTGCGGCGCATGCTACTGAACACTTGGACATCCTCTGTGACGCTGCTTTCACATACGCCGAATCACCATTCAGTATCTGCAAGACACTTTTGTTAATAGAGCCACTTAATGATTAAGCGTTTTGCAATAAACGTAGCATACATATTCAGATAAGTTAAAAACTGTAATCACCTGAGCGAAATTATCTTTGCATGTGGTAGAGTCAACGCCACCATAATCTTCCATTTCCGTAGCGTTTTGTGAAATGATTGCGTTCACCAAGTAATTTCGGACTTCTATCGGTTTTTCTTTTATATCATGGGATATTCTAACTTGGTATGATGTTTCCATTATTCCTTCAGATTCCGATGTTTTAAAAAAATCTGCTTTACCAAAGCTACAGCTTGCATTATTCTCATCATAAGAACAATCTATTCCGTACAGTTTTGGTGTAGGGAAAAATATTCTGTTTTTAGTTATGTTGGTAGCGGTAGAATTAAAAAAGACGTCGTTAGTCATAATGCGTGAGTTGCTATGGTCTATAACGGGTCTTCCGGTTTGTGACAATAGTGAAGAAACTGTGTTACGGTACAAAAGCCTTTGTGATTCATTTTGTGATTTTAAATTAACGTCATACGAGTTTGCACGGACAACAGAGTTAATTTCATCCGACGAAATGCCGTGTGGCAATTCGCAAACAAAACCGCACGATAAAACGCTGTGAAAACAAAGATATTTACATTAGCCGCTTTCACATGGAGGGATTTAATAGAACAGAAAAAAATTAACATAAATTTACTTGTATTGTAACGATTGTGTTCAAATAACTGATAGTATAATATATATGCTTTTATTATAGGAGCAAAAAGTATAACAGGTAAAATACCTAAAACAACTATGTAAGAAAAAATACTAGTATCTATAATGAACGTCATTAGCAAATTATACAAACATTCTTTGTTTGCAAGCGCCTCATATAAATTTCAAAATAAGTACGTATTTGTCTCGTCCGGATTCTTATCTTTACTTTGTAAACAGTACTTAGTAATCTTAAGGGCGCTTCTTACAATCAACAAGAAGTCTAAATATATTAAAAATTTAAAAACATATACACAATAATATATAAATAGATACTAAGGTTTCTTGCGGTAGTATAATATAATAGTTATCAATATGATCATAACAGATCATTATCAACTGTAATATAATAAGGCAAGTTTTATTTACTTACGTAAGGTTAACATCATAGGCGTAGGGATGCAAAGGCTGGCAGGGATAATCCCTGACCTGTTCAAGGGCTAAATTTCCTCCATCGCAAGAAAGAAGTAGATCCACTTGGGGGGGAAAAGTGAACAGTGATCCGACCGACAGGAACAGCTAACAATAACAACGCCGACGCGCCTCCCAGTAACGAAGACAAGGCTAGCAGCAACTAAAAAATAATCATCCTTAATATTACATAAGAAATCATTGAAAAATACTAAAAATTATAAACAAATAATTACACTAATTTAGTGTGATCGTATGTCAAATTATATACGCTCGATAAAAAAGAAATCTACCTACATTTAAATTAAATTATTTCTAAAACCATGAGATAGATAACATACAATATTTTTTAACTATATATGTATATCAAATGACGTATGATGATCTAGGAACTGCACATAATAGGAATCCTATTAGTTAATTCAATTAAAACGAGTTTTATAAACTATACATACATGTCATTTCAAAACATGTTCTTGTTCACATTTATGTTTATATTTTTTTTATCGGAAATGTACTTGTATTGTTAACGTCGACCTTGTATGTAAAGGTTACATAGAATTGTCAAAATTACAAGCACAAATTCGTCCAGATAATGACACAGTTTAACGCTAAATTGTGATAAATGTAAAGTTTGTAATTATATATAGCAAATGACTGACTTCAAATAAACAGGATACTGCATTTAAGAACAATGATAATCGTTAATTTTCAAGTGTTATTTTCTTCCGACATTATACATGTTTGGGTACAATAGCGACACAACATGCCATGGTGCTCAGATACCGTGAAATATTAATACAATATAGTTGCACTTAAAACGTTTTTTATATAGCAATTTAAACTAAACACCAAAATCAGCTTGAATAGAATGAATTTATGATAGTCTGGCTATGCAATAGAGAAAATATTTATAGCGTAACTTTCCCAAATCTCAATGGATTTACATATTTTATATGTCTCCATTTTGTATTAATTTTTTGCACAAAAATAATCTTATAACTATCTAAACAAAATTTTATTTTTACAATGGCTAACATGAATCATCTATTAATGTAGTCAAAAACTTATATTTGCTGATAAGTTTTTTACCACGTTGCTTCGCTAACGGTTGTTTATTTTAGATCTTTTTGATATCTCCAATCTAGTGAATGAAAAACTACCTATGTGAGTTTGAAAATCATTTTTTATATATATACTGCGTCTCACACTTGATCTACAAGATGAAATCAGAAGTAATCCCACGATTCTATTTAAATTCTAAGTCTTTATATCAAAAGATAAAAATCTCCATTTATCACACATACTTTCACATTTCTTTTATCTGCATGATGTGTAATCATTTGCACAACTTATATATAGTAAGTACTAAGATGTTAATTGTGTTATTGATATTAAAACACAGAATCTATCACGTGTAACGTCTATGGTCATACACTAATAAGTATCGTAGGAACTTCCGGGATGACGTCGTGACGCACTCACACCGTGTCCAGTCGCATATAGACGAATAAAGCCAACAATACAAGGTAAATGTCATTGTAAGCTGAATTGGATGGAATTAACGGACATTAAAGATTGATTCGTTATTAGAATCCTTATTGAATTATTGCCTAATGTTATTTTAATCAAGGCTTAAGAGTAATAAGCTATCCTGATGATATTGTATAAATGCGAATGTATTTAGGTGGCATATCGACTCCATATCACTAGTTAAAGTCAATAAAGTGAATAACATTTGCTTTTCTACGAGTCTTAATTGTTCCGTAGGAAGTCTCACATAACAATGGTCGAAATGTAAACAAGATGTATGCTTGAATGAAATCAATCGTGACAATAAAGAAAAATAAAAACGAACATTTTAATAATGTGCAGCAACTCACGAAATAAAGTAAGGTGAATAGTATAGATATAACTGACCCTGAAATTTCCGATTTTATCAGCCAGCATGCCAGCAAGTGGTGGCATCATGATTGAAACGACAGGCGTCACAGCAGACATTATAGCTGTCTCCTCCACATTGATACCCAATTCTCGCATGTGAATAGTCAAATAGGGATAGAGTACGAACAAAGCTGAAAATATTACTTACTAAACAACAATATACACAAATATTTAAGAGTAAAACATTAAGTTTTACAACATATATGTAAGTTTATACCTAGACAACTAGGCAAATTAATGAAATGAGAAAAAAAAAGTCTTAAATTACGTTACACAATAAAAATGACTGCGATGTACGATATAACATAATACCTTTTTTTAAAGTTTTAATAAAATCTAAGAGATATCATTATATAACACAAATATTGAGGTTACAGACACGGATCGCATATTCAATAGCTGTGATCGTTGTACCAACAACTGGCAACCTTTGGCATATAACGACATTTTGTTTATACTTTATACATATACTCACTAGATGCATGCATAAAAAACAGTATCTTCAAAGGCACTAGCTTCTTCTGTTTAAGATCATCTGTGATCCGTGTGAAAAATAATCTTATAAACTGCATTTTGTTATATTCCACGGAACTTCTGTGAATAATTTGAACAGTGGAGTCAATGTCCTATGTTGGAAAATTGTTTGTTACCCAGCTTCCCGCATATATGCAACTTGTCCGTCTCTCTTGATTCATGGAAATGTATTGTTTTGGGTAATATCTGTAATAAAACATATTAATAACTTCTTTAATTCTTATCAACATCAATAAAACTTGATATATTTCACGCATATTGTCCACATTCGTAAGCTCTGTTGATTACAACTTATTAAAGTTACCGTACGAGGTTAAAAGTAAGATATCAATGAAATAATATATGAACATGACTTCAATTTTGCAATTGGTATCTTTTACTTATAATTCAATCCGAAGTCAGCCAATCTAACCGGTTTACTTTTTTAGTTCTGATACGTTCTTTGGAAAAGAAAGTAGATCATTAAAATGTTAATAAATTTTGTACATTTAGTCAAACGAGTCATCAAAAAAGATGTTTAAACTGGTTAGACGTCCGCTAACTAAACAAGAAAAATACAATTAACAACCCATTTGCTTAATAATCCTACCATTTAGATAAATAAGTTAATGGTAAGTTTCATTAGTAATATCGAAGTGGTGATTTTATTTCACCTCGGATTCAGTCGTAAACTATACATATTTTGAGTACACTATAATATAAACAGATTTAAATCATTATTAAAGACTTTATTATTCGGGAAAATTAAAAAATAATGTTCTTAATGCAAAATTATACGTTTGATTTAGTTTCGTAATTAGCTGTTGCCATCTCAATCGCGAGGTATTTTTATTATCACAGAAATACTGACACGGCGTCAAATTTTTCTACAAAACCATTCAATTAATTTCTAGTAAAGTTCTAGTAAATTCACTGCATTCAGTGAATGGGTTCTCCATATCAATACATATATACCTACATATCATACATTCATTCTACCATAAATGCAAACGATAACAGTACTACTAATAAACTAAATTGTCTTTATTTTTCTATTAAATTTTGAAAAGAGGTTAAAGTCTTAGTATAGGATAAGATTAATTCAAATACATTCTTTTATCTATGACTTAACGAAATCTCAATATATAAAAAGATTATATTTAAAAGAGAATATTCGTGTTTCTATATTTTTTCATTGTACATATTACAATAATTTATGTTTAATATCATTAATTTACAAATTGATATTTAATTAAAGAAATTAAAGGAAACGGTACAACACTAAAGATTAAACATTCAAACAATAGCTGGTTTTATAAAGCCGCGTTCACAAAGATGTTTAGATACATAATACATATATACATATCCAACATAAAATTTTTACACTAGGATCTTGTAAATAATATTTAGGTCTAAAATAAAATAATCTCATTATTTAGTTGTATGCAATATACAAAATAGGTACTACTTAACTAGGGACGTGTTACCGCAAAACTTTTCTATTCTATTTTCCGTATGCGTACGAGTTACTAATATTTTCTTTACAAAAACCTATATACATATAAATAAAATTCAAGCAATTAAAATTTTGGAGATGTACATTTTATTTTCTGCTCACTATGAAAATTATAGAGCTATATATATTTATATAATAAACACGTAAAATAATACAAAATAGGTACTTGTATTAAAAACAAAACAAATAATCACGTACCAGCAATTTTTTTCTACATATAAATATTTGTCAGTCCACAAATGGAAATGGAAAATACGTGCCTTAAGCCTTCAAAGTATACAAAATAAACATGCTGTATTGAAAGTCGGTGAAGTTTGTTTGTGTTTAACGACCAACTTAAAAAAAATATTGCTAATTTATACTTCAAAAATAAAATAAATACGTTTTATTTTCGAAATAATGGCTATAATATTTTCACATAATTCTTATAATATAAATATTTTCTTAATCAATAATCGTGGGAAGATATCATTACAATAGAATTTGCTTTTAATCTTACGTAAACGTAGCTTCACTTAAAAAAAAGTTTCGTAATAACAAATCTTGGAAATATCTATAATCTGTATTATTTCTATTATTATTTATGATTATTATTCAATTAGAGATGGATTTTATTTGTTAATTGCAGTATACATTTTTCAACAATAATTATTTGCTTTTTCGAGAAATTTTAAAGTGTGGAAGACTCTTTTTTTTAATTAATATTTTTGAACGTTATTATTTTCTAAATAAACAAAAATCGTATGTTATACTCACCCAAGTAACAAATGCAAAAAAAAACCTTATCGTCAAGATTTTTCACTTCAATGCAAAATTTATGACCAAATCATCAAAATATCACTGATTAAATGTTTTCATACACTTTCAATTTTAATGACTGTCGTGTTTTATTAGCTTCTGTATAAACGAGAGCCGACACTTCAGTCCTATTCCCTTAAATGGGTGAAGCGAAAGGTGCGCGGGCGCATCCGATTCGCACGCGTGGCCGGCCTAAAGAGTTTTGCGCGACACTGCCAACTGCAGCCCTCCAACTTCCAAGCTCCACCGTCAGTCTACGTCACGGTAATAACATTCGTGCATCGTATATACAAGTGGACCCAGTTTGACAGCGGCGAAAGGTTATAAACACGGACGATTGATAGAACACTCACTCTGTTTTTACAACACTGCGTTAATTATTATTAAACATTTTAAACATACAAACCGGTTTGTACATGTTGAATATTAAAATATTTTGATACTATTAATAACTTTCTAGTTTCTAGTATACTTTATACAACACAACATTTCAAAAAACTGTTTGTTATACGATGTCACTTTTAATATTGTGGTGAGACAATGTGAATTTACTAAGCGTAAAAAAGGCTTATTTATCAGCTACCTAAAATATTATCACGGCTGTATACTTCATGAAAAATGATAAGTTATGTCAACTTTATGTGTATTGTGATATAAATGATTGCTTTTTGTCGAAACGTGTAAATTTTGAATAAAACCTCAAAATAATTTTCGTTACACACAAACGTCACCAATTTTTTGTTTGAGCAAATACTGATAAAACCCATTTATTTTTTCCAAGTAAAGAAATGTATGAAGTTTCGTACTAGGGAATTTTGAGACGGTAGGAGGCTGGGGGTTAAAAATATTTTGTACCACTTAGAGAATATTCTATTTTAATTTATATAATGAAGATGTTTGTTAAAAAAAATTGTTGATGAAAAATTTGAAAATACATATATATCTTATTTATTTTATAAAGTAAACAAAGATATTATACTTGTTACTCTATCCTTCATATTTTATATCTATAGTTACATTGTTGTATCTAAGATAAATATCCGAAAAAAAAAAACTAAAATTATTTCCTTATTTATCCTAATTTTGACTTTGGTTATAATTTATATCGAAAATCGTGAATTCATATTATACTCCTTTTTGTGTAAGGACCTTTACGAATTGTAGTTGTTTGTGGTTTAAGCTAATGGAATTAATAAATCAATTTAGATTTTAAAACTTGTTTCATTCTAGACTATTTTTATAATTTTATCATTGTTTCAATCTATTAATTGTTTTCTTAACATATAAAGAATACCGTCTGTAATCGAGACGTGACACACGACCAAAACTGAGACAATTGACTGTTTCATTTTCCCTACTGCGTTGAAGACAAAGAGGTGTTATGTTTTAACATGTACACGTATATATGCGTTTATGTATGATAATAATCTCTTATTTAAAATATATATGTTTAGTATCAATGTCAGGTTTAACGTCTAAATAATCGAAAAACCTAGCAACCAGTAAATATAATAAAATAAATGACAAAAAAATATCATAAAAATACTGTAATGAAAAAATAATAACAATAAATAGAAATAATTAATGCAGTTTAAAAATAGATGTTACCAACCTGCAGCGCCATCTATACTCTGATAATCTGTACCACGTGCCTTGGTATAAAATTCAAATGATATGCCAAGTAACTAAGGAATCTAAACAAAATTTAGGATAGGAATAAATGATAGCTTATCTTACCTTGGAATTTAAGCTAGGAATCAAACATAAAATCCAAATATATATGAAAGAAACGAATCGTGTAATAGTTTAAAATTATTTTATTAAGATCAGATAAAGGCCGTAATACACTGCTAGTCAGTCTTGCTTCAATGTTACAATCAATTACATATAATTTAGTATTTATCAGGATTCACTGCGTCCATTAAAAAGCACGGACGTGTAAATGATGCAGCAGTAAAGGTAATTGTTGTCTTGAAGGTGAGCAACTTATTTCCTTGAATAAATAAAGTTTATCTCATATATATGTTTAAGTTCTGTAAAAGAATAAGTACATATTTATTTTATATGTCAGTCTAAATAGCTTATGTGTAACAAAATAGCAGTTAATTACATATTATCATATCGCTCCACTCAAAGTTCCAATATCTTGAAGAAATATTCAACTTCAAGCAAACCATCTTCGGCGAGATCGCTACAATGAATGGCGTTCTGTACTTTTGTTTTGCCCAATTTCGCTCTTAATGTGTGCGGTCGTAATAACCTCGCGATTTCCTATGGGAAAAATATTTTGATAAATTTTCTAAAATAATACATACAGTCACTTTGAAAGTTGAGTTCTCACACTAATGCTAGTCACCTCCTAAGTTAGGACATAAGACATAAACACATGCCAATACAACTTAATCTATCATAATTCAATTTTTCAGCCTAGCTTGTTCCTGACACACAAGATATACATTATAAATATTCTAAGAGGGATTGTATGACACAATACAAATTAAAATAAATATATACATACATTGTATTTTTTTTTCTAAGACAAAAATAGTATGAAACATAATTTACAAAAAATATAAAAATTATGATTAAATAGAAGATAAGTTCAAAGATGTAAATTATTTTAATAACTTATTTGTAACATAAATATACTTTTTTACTTTGCATTTGGATTTAAATATAATTTTCTATTTAGTATTTTACTGGAAATTATTAAGAAATTTAATAAATTTTTATTTCTTAAATATTGTTTATATTTTGTTGGTCTCTTAAGTGTCCTTATTTTTCATTGTATTTTATTTATTAACCCAATTATCAAACTTAAACTAAAACTTAAATGTTTTCTACTTCTGTTTTAAATTACAAAGAAGTAATATGTAAATATGTTATATTTAAAAATATTATGTAACAATTATTTCATGTAGATACAATTTTTTTATTATTTTACCCATGTGTTTATTTTTCTTACGTCTTAATTTAAAACCACACTAAATCAATACACACATTTCATTCATAATCATGATTTTCACTTTTTTTCTCACACTAGATTAGTTGTTTATCTTAAAACACCATAGGAATATCAAAGTGACTTATATAAGGACATGACCAGCTTTAGTGTAACATCTATAATACTAACAGGATCTGATGGTCCGACTAGTTTCCTAAATTCCACAGCGGTGTTAACATTTTTATTTTTAGCGACTATCTCCATAGCCACACAAGGTCCGCTTGACAATTCCTCCACCATACCCTGTGTATAAATAATTAAATTAAAGAATAACAATACTTTATACAACATTTCAGCTAATTTAATATAGTCTATTTTGTGTAATAAATTAAAAAGTAAAATTTAAAGCAAATTATATATTTATAAACATTAATTACCTTATACTCTTGAACAATGCCTTTGTAGACTTCATAGAATTCTGCAGCATTAATGTTCTCGACTATAAACATGTTAAATGCAGTAATATCAAAACCTCCTTCATCAATAGCCTCCATGGCAGCTCCGAGCTTACCCTCTCTAATAGCATGAGGTTTGACTATACACAGTGTACAATTGGACAAAGTAGCTGTTAGTCGCAATCGAATAGAAGTCATCGGTGGTGGTGGAAAAAAATATTCTATGTTCTAAAAATATTAAATCATTAAATTAGTATGTATATTGCATATAGAAGTAATTTAATTCATTTATATATTTACTTCTGCAGCAGATTCTAAGTCAGTTGAGGCGTGTGCACAATTCCTTACAGGATCAGTTCCATAGAGAGCTCTGATAGTGCCCGGTTCAGCTTTTAATGGATCCTTGTCACCTAAAAGTTTCACACATGTTTCAACGGCATCCTTACCGACCAACTCCATTCCGTAAACCAATTGTCCTATTAAGTGTTCAACTAGAAACCTAAAAGGAAAAATTATTGGTGATTAATTTAGTCTCATTTCTACATTTATTTTCTATTGAATGAACTCACGGGTAAGTTGGATCTGTTAGTTGTTGTCTGTAAATGAAACCGATGTCTTCTGATGTCAGCCGACTCTTTTTCATTTTAGTTATTTTAAAACCTTGCTCATTAAAATATGTTACAATCTTCCCAGCTATGTTTGTAGGCAGTGGCTTTATCATCCCAAAAGTTCTAAAATAGAACAAGTTTTTTTAAACATGAATAATTTTTTTTAGCACAATATGTTTACATATAACTCACATTTCCAAGTCTTTATGCAATTTTGATCTCGTGTCCTCACAAGCAAAATCAATTATTTTAACCATCCTACCCAAAATAAGTAGAGTTGATCCAATATAAAAATTATCTAAAGTAACGCCATTCACTTTTACTCGCCGCAAGAATGTTTTGCGATTCTTTAAATCGAACATTTCTATTGTGTCATCCGTTGGATAGTAAAATATATTAAATTTTCGAATGAGACTAGCCTGGTTGTCATACCATTCACCAATAAAAGAATATTTGTCTCTATATGCACCCTCCTGAAACACTTATTAAAGTAAATATATTTCCAAACCAATATTATATATTAAAAAGTACATCAGTAATATACCATTATGTATAAAATTCCGCAGATTGCGTCACGTATAAAAAGTTTATAGCATTTCTTTAAAAATTGTTTACCAAATACTATAGCAACAAAAACGATCTTTTAAAAATAATGTAAACAAGAACTAGGAACAAAACCGTTGAATACTATATCATATAAGCTTGTCAGCAGTCAAACGTCAAAAGAGTAAAGAAAACGTTCAGTATAAAAAAAAAGAATTGTAAAAAAAACGAAATGTTAGAGTAGAGGAGTTATTAAAAGAATATATAATTTCTAAATTTAAAAATTCTTCTTGGGCATCAGACTTAGATTAAAAAAATAAAGACAAATATCTTAGATAAATATAACCCTTAACATAAAGTTATGAAGATTTGTGAAAGATCCTATCTGTTCATTTAGTAAAAGAGAATTTAGTAGCTACTATAAAATAATATTAAGCTATTCAATATTCCAAGAAATCACTTATATTGAATCTTTAGACCGGATATATATCTATATATCAGCTTTTCATTCTACCCTTTAAATCTATTTAACTATTCTCATCTTCATAGAATTAAATTCTTATATAATTAAATCTTTGTTATATTGCTACTGGTACCATTTTCTAAAATTAATCATTTACTACCTATTATATATACTGGGATTTAATAGTAATTGATTTAACAACGATAATTTTTCAAGCTCCGTTCAGTCTTACTGTATTGTGTTTTTGTTCTATTGATTAGTTATATCAATTACAGAAAATAAAAACGAATACATCAGTCAAATTAGAATGATAGAAACATATTAAACTATATTTGAAATGATGTTCGTTTTAAATTATCGACGATTTTAATATTTTTACCATGATAAGGTTTGTGGCCCAATGTGTAAAACACAAACTTATCAATTGCAATTTTTAACTTTTTATCAAAACTTAAAACCTTCTTTTGAATGGTGGAAAATATTTTTATTAGGTTACAAATGATTAATTTCAACTATAACGAGCATTAAATCAGTCTTCTGTCAATATAGCGATTTGTCTGATTAATGTTTTTATTGTGATCTTTAAATTTGTAACATTATTCAGGAAGTTTTATATCAAAATGGTAATAAAATATTTCTTGGTATTAACTGTGCATTTTTTATTATAATACCAGTGGAGTATTTGCGTGTTGAAAAGCGGTAAAACTAAATATAAAATATTATGGGACGTTGTGAATTTATACACGACTTTTTACTAATAAGTATCTAAATATTTAACCTCATCTTCGTGTAAAAAAATGAAAAATGAAGGAAGAGCAACTTAATTAAATTTTAATTTGTGAGTAATTGTGTAAAATAATTAATAAATATTTTTAGGTTTACGATTACTTTGACAAGTATACATTTCTGTGCGAAATGTATGATGAAGATGCTGACGAGATAAGAGAGTTATGTTTGAATTTCTTTCCTTTCGACAATTCAATTCAAGTTATAGACGCCAAGAAAGGAAAGAATTTGGTGAAAAGAGTTCAACTGCCGACATTAAAAGTTGAAATGTTACAAGTAGGAAACATCGTTAATATATTTTTCAAAACTATTACATATTGTAGACTGTGCTCCAGCTACGCATAAAACGTTATTTCAAAATGTTCAAAGGTGACTTAGTCTAAAGACTCATATTATTATACTAAACATATATTTGTAGGTATATATATCAATAATGAGTAAGTTATTTTATTTCAGCACTTTCGCATTAATAAAGCCAGTGCCAGCAAGCCTCCATGGAAAAATTATAACATTCATTATGAAGAATGGTTTTCGGATTGTGCGCATGAAAAATGGAAAAATAAGCAAAGATTTTGCGATGGAAATGTATCAACATCTTGCCGGAAGCAACATGTTGCCGTGAGTCATACATACATACATGAAAACAGTATCTTACATTATATATATTTCTTAAATCTATAGATTTTTTTTAGAAAAAATTATTCTAAATAAAATAGATAATAAAACCTTATAATTCTAATGTTAACTGTTTTGTAACATATTTGGTAACTTTCGAAACTTCAGAATCATCATAGATTACATAACGACGGGTGAAGTTATCGGATTAGAGTTAGTGGCACCCAGTGCTGTGACAAAATGGAAAGAATGTTTGGGTGATACCGATCCGCTTACAGCAAAACCCGGCACATTGAGGAGAATATACGGCGAAAATAAAGTTAAAAATATAGCTCACGGCTGTTCTTCAGTGCAGGAGGCGGTGAATGTAGGATATATTTAATTATTCTTTTAGTGTTATAAATTATTACAACCTTTAAAGTTTAAATGTTAATTTAATATTTAAAAAAGTTGGATTAAATGACCGTTGAATTTATAAACATTGAAAAGTATCATTTGCAAAACACTACATACTTATTTACGTGGAAAACCAAATATTATAATATGTTCTCGAATAGTAGATAAAGAATCCACGATGTATATAGGTAATTATTATTTAGAAATTGCAACGATAAGAGAGACACAATATATAATTACAGATGCTGGATTTGTTCTTTGGTTACGAAAATGGATTACCAAGAATTCAATTCCGAGCAACGGTAAAAGGACTGTACCTGTTGCATTATAAAACCTCACGTTATTATTGATGGCAATGTTGGCGCCATATTGGAACAGATCGCAATATCCAAAATATTCTACATTTCAGCAATAGCAATGTTTTCGGTTAAATTACAAAATGCACAGGAATTTTTTGAAGTATATAAAGGCGTTTTACCTGAATATGAGGTAAGTTAAATACATTTTATGTGTGAAAATAAAGTAGAATGAATTTATAGTCTTTAAAGTAATTCTGTATTTAATTTTTTTATTCCATAACTTGACCGGTTATATAGTGTACCTACTTAAAATGTACCTACTGTGTATGTGTGTATTGTTAAAAAAGAGAAAGTAGGTTAAATATTGTATCTTTCAGTCAGTTTAACACGATAAAATCAATTCAATTTGAATATTTTCACATGTTCATTCAAAAACGTTTCATATTTCAATCGATTTTGAGATTGTACTAATAAAAAAATTTATAATGGCCGCAGGAAGAAATAAAATACAAAGAAACATTTTATACAAAATCATCCAGCAGATAAATTTCTATGAAACAAGAAATTCCCTTCATCATAATCTTATCCAGTAAATTTTATGTTTTGGCTTAAAATAATGTAGATGGTCTTTAGAAAAGTAATAATTTATTATGATCGCATTGTATTTTCAGTGACGACTTAATGTGTGTCAGAAATAATTAGGTAATAATTTCATGATTTTTAATTATTTAATTCTCAGGCAACATGTATTCATCTGGCTGAAGGCAAGTGCGTGGCTTTAGAAGTTAAATGCCATGATCCGAAATTGAACTGTGTTTGTGAATTTAGAAAATTATGCGGCCCAAGAGACCCTGTAAGTTAAAACTTTATTTTGATAAAAAAAGTATAGGTACATTCAATCTCAATATTTTGACTACATTAATGCTAAGAATATCAAACCACTTGATATTACTTCTGGCCCATATTACAATTTTATGATGTGATTACTAATGTATTAACCTACTCAATTACCTACTTACCATGTTGAGGTGTTAGCTAATAATAATTTCGACGATTTTTTTTTTTGTAATACAGGCAGACGAAAACCTTTGGATATATAATCAAATTGATTTTACATTTGATTAAAATTAACCTAACCATTGCCAACTTGAGAGTAGGTACTATTACGACCATTTCTGTCCACGTTCCACTATCGACTATCGAGACGAAACGTTACCAGCTTAATAAACTTCGACTATTTCAAGATCTTGTTTCGTAATTACATTCTTTACTGCAAAATAACGCACATAAATATAAAATGGACTAGGGATTAATACTTACCTAGGGCAATGGACAATTTCTGATGTCACCAACAATTTTAAATATCGAAAAAAAACTTGTTAAAAGCAATCAATATTAACATGAACAATTTTCTTATTTAGTGCCTTATGAGATCTTAGAATAAAATATTTATATTCAATAGAATATAGATATGCAATAGCATATACTTGCACCATTATTGTATTAACCTATCTCAAAAAAAGAAGCCGTTCTTAAATTCCATTGTATATATTTTTCTTGAATGTATTCGCGGATAACTCTTAATAACTCTTTTTGTAACGCAAATAAGGACTTATTAAAAAACCATGGCCTTCTGATAGTTTCCTAAATTAGCTAAAGCTAGAGGACAACTATCGAAACCCGCGTTATTTCAATTTACTTCTTGAATTATGGCAATCTGATTTCAAAAGAGAACTGAAAAAGGAAAGCAAATTTACTCACACCAAAGAAGAGGTTTTGATTTAATCAAAGAGAAATTATTGTATCATTATTTTTAAATTTAAAGTCATGTTAGCTGTGAAGTATTCATGGACTTCAATATTATGAATGACCTTCTTCTTCTACCTGGCAATTTCCCAGCTTTAGCCAGGATCTGCCTTACATGTTGTGAATAGTTTTAGCTAATTGTTTTCAACCCTCTTTGGGAATGCATTAATCAGTGATGTCTGTACTAAATACTCTTAAAAAGTACATTATGACTCGGAAAAATCACATTGGTACTTGCCAGGGCCAGGATCAAACCTTCATGCATGAGAGGCGGGCCTTTTAACCACTAGGCCACCACTTAATCTAATATTATAATATTATGAGTGATGTTTTATAGCAAAATATAAGTTTCATTCTGTATTACTTTAGGATCTACAGCAAACAACAGACAAATCGAAAAAAATCTTTTTCTGGCAATTCTATCAATCCTTAAAATATTCCTAACAACTAGGACTCTGTACACATGAAGTATGTCAGAAACAGAAACTTTAGATTTCCAAAGCAACAGAATCATTTACCTGTTTGTTGTACTTTACATTAAAAAAATACAAAACCATATAAATATTTGTAACTAGCTTTCCGCTCGCAGCTTCGCTCGCGTGGAGTTCGGTCATATCACGTTTCCAAGAGAACTTTTTAAAAGTCTGGGATAAAAACTATCATATGTTCTTTCTCAAGGTCAACTCTATTTCTGTACCAAATTTCATTAAAATCAGTTCAGTGTGAAAAAGTAACAGACAGAGTTATTTTCGCATTTATAATATTAGTAGGGATTAAAACAATATTCTTTATAAATAATATTTTAATGAAAGATAAATTGAAACAAAACATTCACTTTACAAATGTCAGATTGTCAAAAGTAAAAATTATTTCTATTTCTTTTAACAGGAGCTGTGTCGTCAATTATATCCAGATTCCCTTAGAGCGCTATATGGTAAAAACATTGTGCACAATGCAGTACATTGTACCGATCTCCCTGAGGATGGGGAACAGGAAGTTGAATACTTTTTTAAATTATTAGCCAACAGTTGATTTTTTAATGCCATGTACTGGAGACTATTTCTTTTTGTATACATTTTTTATAACAAAATCATTTCCTTCTATTTCTATTTTGTCATACATCCATTTTCTGTTACATCTGAAATAAATAAATATATTATTGAGTACATGTTTGTTTATTACACAATATATATAGAAATATTCATCCATAGCAATTAAAAATATTATATAGTATTATAAATCCTAAAAAATTAATTGCTAAATATAGGGCTAAGAAATATTATCTAGTCTCCATTAACTATGACACCCGTTCATTGTGTGTTTATTTTTGGATGAAAAAAAACATTACAAATGTAATACACTAAAATTTTATAATCCACAATATATTTCAATCAATAATTTTTACATGATATATTATTGCAGGATTTTTAATAAATATAAATTTTACTTTCAATTGTCACATAATTGAAATTGCTGTTTAATTTCAAATCTTATCAAACCAACAATACTTATTAAATGCAACTCACAAAAAAAATAACCTATGCCATTACTGATATGAAAATTTTAGCTTGTTTTGAAATTGTACCTGCACTCATGTCCACATTTGTTGGAATTGCATTTAGGACATGGAAAATGGCAACCAGGGCAGGTTTCATCTAGACAATCACAAAGATCTTTGCCTGTCGAAGCTATAAGACCGCGTTCATTGTAAATCTTCTTGTTTTTGCGGCTGAAAGTAAGAAAAATCTTTAAAATGCTAAGCTAACAAAAATATTATACAAAAAATGCGAAAAACTTACTTCATGAAATAATTTTTACGATTCAATTTTCGACGTTCTCTATCCGATGTTGCTGGATCAAAATTTTCTAAGAAAGGCATTTTTTAAATATAAATATAACTTTAGATTTCTACTTATTATAAGGCAGTCCCACGAACAAGGAACTCAATCATCTAAAGATCATCCATAAAAAAACATAAAAGACGAAACTGTGTTTTACTTATAAAAGTAAGTTAGGTATTATTAAATATGAAGTAGCAGTTTTGAAAAATTTTATTAACTTGGTAGGAATTTTATTAAGTTGACATTTGTCAACTTTTTGAATTAACCATATTTCTGTGAGAATTTTTCTAACGGGTAATAATTGTCAAGAGAGTTTTCTTGAACTTTTTTGACCTTTTTTTTTGTCTGATTCATCAATAAACGTCTTCGTAAACGATTTTTAGGGCCTGTTAATGTATGTTTTTTCGGCATTTTAACATTTACACTCTTTTTTTCCCTTAAACAGAAAAATTAAAATTCTCAGTTATAATAATTGCCCGCTTTTACAAAATTATTGTTCAGATAGCATTTTCCTATTATTTTATTTTAGACTAGCTGACCCGGCAGACTTCGTACTGCCTCAATCAAGAAATAAATTAGGTATGTCTTTTTTTTTTTTTGGTGTTTACCTTTAAGCCATAAATCTCCGTGTTCTGAAGTGCGACAAAATGACTGACATATTAGTTAGTTGTCAAAACTAATGTCAAAAAACCGTTTGTATGGGAAATAAAAAAGCGCTGTTTTTAGGGTTTTCCCAGTAATGAATCAATTTTTTTCAGCTTTTATACCTTCCCTGAACCTCCACGAACATTTCGAGACTAAGATAAGATAAATCCGTTCAGCTGTTCTCGAGTTTTAGCGAGACTAAGGAACAGCAATCCATTTTTTTATATATAGAAGATAACAAATACTAATTTAATTATTTTTTAAATAAATTACTATCGTGTAAATATAAATAAAATAAATATTTTGACAGCGGCTTAGAAAATTGCTTATAAAAATAAAAGTAACAAAATATATTTATAATAGTAATTAATTACACAACTATTCTGCTTAAAAAATATTTTTTAACATAAGACCTATTTGTTGTAAAATAATAATAATTCACGATATTGGTAACATTTAACCCACTATATATTTTGACGCTCAAAAAACTCGTATCCTAAGCTGTAAAAATATTACTATCTATTTTGACAGCCGTCACTTGTCATATACTTGATGGCAAGTGCGCGTTGGTATTAAAGTTAGAACATGCTTTTTATCATAACAATCGTTCTAAGAATAATTTGAAAAAAACATAATAGTTAGAGAGGAGTATACTAAAATTAATTTAAAAATTTTGGTACGACTGAAAAGAAAACGAAAATATGGCTGACACAAGTACAAAAGATTCATCTGTTACTAAAGTGCCTATGATTTACGTTTGTGGCGGTAAGTCACGATAAAATGTATTCATTAAGTGCAACAGAAGAGAGTTAAACACAATTCATTAGACAGCCAATTTATTAACTGATTAATAAAACGTTTGTTTGTAGGAGGTAAAAAATAATAGAACTCAACTCTTAAAGAATGACTAATAGTAAATAATGGTCAATAACGATTTTGTAATCTATTAATTTAGGACTGAATTAGATTTTTTAAGCCTTAAAGAAGATAAGTAATGGTACTAACTTTAACATCTCTAGCAATGAACTTTAAGAAAAGCATAACCACCTTCTAAAACATAATAAATTTTGTGTGCTCCTTTCTGCCTTTCTTAAAACAACACCTTTTACCCTAAAATATATTATATAGTTCCAATAAATCAAACCATAACTAAACCCAACTCCTAAAATTTATGTAGGCCAAATATTTTTCAGTGATTCTGCTTTTTAATATATGGAGGGCTCGTTAAAATTTTATTATGATATTATTAATTTTCTACCAGAAAATAAATTAAGATATGAATAATGGAATAAAGTCTGAATTATATCAGTAAATAATATTATATAGTTCTTGTGTTGTAATTTTAATGAGCAAATATTTCTTTAATTACAACTAGATTGTGCCTGAATATTATCCCACCAAATGTTAAGTAGAAATGTAACTTTAGAGGGCAAGCACATTATTTTAGTAAAAATATATTACATTCTTACAATTTTCAAAATTTTAAGTGAAAAGAACACAAAGACCTGTTTGTCTGAAACATCTCTGATGTACACATGAGTAGAAGGTGTACTATACAGGGTGACTGGTGAATTACTATCAATATTTAAGGAGAATACTCGGTACATGATTCTCATTCGAATTATGTAAAAAAAATAGGTACTTAATTTTTGACCAAATTTCCGTATAAATAAATAAAGTGTGCACACGTTCCAAGTGTTCCAAGTGTGGACGCTTGCGGTGGCGTGCTGATACAATACCACGCCGCCACACGCGTGTGTGTGTGTATGTGTATACCTAATCTGTAGGGTGTTCACACGATGCGTAATTAATTACATAACTTTTGGTTAACTTTACTTAGAAGTTTATTAATATTTATGTTATATTAATTTTTATTTTGTCATATATGATCGTCAAATATCACATCCTCAAGTATCGATAGTAATTCACCAGTCACCCTGTATAAGATGAAAAAAATATATAATTTTTGAGTTGTGTACATAATTGTAATTTTACTGTTTACAGAATGTCACAAGGAAAATGAAATAAAACCTCGAGATCCGATCAGATGCAGGGAATGTGGCTACAGAATTATGTATAAGAAGAGAACAAAAAGATGTATCCTTTTAAAATTATTATTTATCTTGAAACATTTATGATATTTTCCAATATTAGAGTAAAGACATGAGTCAAATGACTATCATATTTAAATAATTTAAGTGTCCAGTTGAATATTTTGAAACAAATTTTCATATTTGAAAAAAATATTTTTTTTAAATCGAAGTTTACCTATTCTATGAAAAATCTTAAAGCCATGTAAAATCTATTTCACCTTATTAATGTACTTTAAAATTTTAGCAGGCCATATATTGCGTCAAAAAATTGCGGACTAAACTTTGGTGCTTAAAATCACGATAAGCCACGGTTATACCTTTTGATGGCAAATTTTTGTAATTCAAAACATTAAAAATGAAGTTATTGCAACAACTCTAAATATAATCTCATTTTTAAGGCTATATCTTACCTCTCATGTTTCTTAACAAACGAGCTAGTTTTCCATACACAGAGCAGAAATTAATAATACATTTGAATGCAATTGTTACGTATCCTGCTTATAAAACAAAGTAATGAATACCATAATATAGGCATAAAAATTTCAGTAATCAATGAGAGTTGACAGCTAATGTCACTTTTAAACATATCGTTGGAATTGTCGTTGATTAGACGTCTTAATGTTAATAGTAATCTTGAAAGATTTGAAATTAATCATTCATTAGAACAAAAAATACTTAATTTTCTTAAGAAATTTTTTTAGACTTTTTTGTCATATCATACTTGAATTATATTTCGTTCAAAATATACGTATATTATTATAGTCAAACTAGACGGAAATTAAAGAATATTTTTAATTTATAAATCAATTCAATTGTATAATATCAAACAATAGTTTTATGAAATTTTACTTAATTTTCATACTCGACTCGTTATGAGTAAACAAACTTCGTAATAGATGCTCCACATTGTTTTTATTCAATTCAATCCAAATGTTATTCAATTCAATTAATTCAATTTGACAGTGTGATATACAAATAAATTAATACTCTATATTTTTTATACCACAACTTCAGAAATAGCAACAGAATTAAATTTTTAGTTGTAAAAAAGAAACAATGCATCTCTTTACAATAATTTCATATTAAATATGATTATTTCTTAAATTTTTATTCTATTTTAATTTCTTTGTATGCCTCGATTTATTTTCGTAATTTTTTTTCTTTGCAACGTAAAAAATTAGTTCATTTGTGGGTTGGATAACTCATGATAAGTGTTTTATTAGCAAAATGTAGTTCTTTAATTGAGCCAATAAAATAACATCGTTTTTTAAAAACCAAGTTTATGTCCTTAGTTAACATTTTATCCTATGATTATCTAGATTTCAAACAAGCCAAACTTTATAAAAATTTATTATATGTTGAAAAAATATAATTTATAATTTGTTTTCAGATAATAATTTCCTTAACATATTTTTCAGTGGTCGTGTTCGATGCTCGCTGACAAGGAAGAAATAATAAATGTTTTTCAAGGTTTACATTTAGTTTAATCTTACCAATAAAAAATATCCATTCATATTATAATGTATGTATAATCAATAAATGGGCAAATATTTGACATGTTTGTATTGATTTATTCCTAATAATACAATATACATTTATAAATATGTCACTAGTTATGAGTTGAGTATATTTAACATCAATAGTCTTACTAAAGAAATTACAATCTTTATTGATACTTAGTATCTAAAAAATTTTACTGTCCCATATGAATGTTTGTTAAACATAGGATAGAAATTTAAGCCGAAAACAAAAAAACCTTTTGCACATTTCAAAAATATATAAACATTTGTATATCAATCAAATTACACTCCTATCTTATACATAAAGATTAAAGTAGAGTATACTTTAAAATCTTGCAAAATACAAATTTAGTCATATAAAATCATTTTTATTTAGAATTTGGGCTCTATTCAATAAGGCTTGAAAGAGATTTAAAATGTCTCAAGTCAAATATTTACCCAAATGTAAAACAACTAGTATAAAACAAATTTCTAGCACAAGAACTATTTTTTTCGATATGGAAGACTTCGAAACATCTTTACCTAATTTCGTTTATGGAAGTTGATATGCCAATTACATTAAAAGATACATTAAAGTATTTTGGAAGTAGAAGTTGTTCAGTGTAAATACATTGTGGTATATATTTTATAAAAATACATACAAAGACTCATAAGTAACTACTGTACTACTTTTTTTTAGTGTAATATGTTTCATTGATATTTCAAGCAATTTTTTTTTCTTAATTCTTCATGTAGATTGTGGACCTCACAGTACTATACATTAATATTTAAATATCCAATTAAAAACAAATCAGTTTCTCAAATTCAAGAATAACAACTATCCACATAACTATATATCCTATTTAGATTTATATGTAACAATATGTAAGCCTTATACTGGAAGCAAATATAACAATATTAAAATTAGTTCAATTTGAGATATTTACATTATACTTCCCAGAATTATATATAAAAAATACAAATATGTATATAATTAAAGCGCATCATTTTGTTTTCACACGTAGCTGAGTTAAACCCCAGTATGATTAATAATTTCACCTTAAATTAACAATAAACAAAAATTGCACATTAAAATAATCTACTTAAAATAATTTTGGCACTAATTATCTGTGGCACTATAATTAACTCGAGTTTCTGTTTCTTGACAGTCACTATTTTCAACCGTTTTTATCTCACTATCTTTTAAACTGTCACAGTTCTTTTCTAAATAAACTAAAGCATCTTCATCTTCTGAAGACTCCCTCCCTGCAGGTAGGTTTAGTGCTGCCCCACTCGGCTCTCGGTACTCAAGTTTCGATGGGTCCTTCTCATGTAATTTTCTGGCGAGGGATTGCAAACTAGCCAAGGAACTGGCACAATCTGTTGTATCTATATCCGTTAGACTAAGACCAGCACGTTCTATTTCCGTAAACGTTCCAAACGGTAATTTGAATAAGCACTCCAAACGCATCACATGCATCTTGCTTCTGAGATGTTTAGCGAGATGTCCATGTATTCGGAATGCTATATTGCAATCTGAACAACGAAATGGTCGAGGATTGCACGATGTAGCTGCCCCGAAGGTTGAGGTCATTGAGACCTTATTATGATGAGACCCAGAACGCTCATGCTTTTGCAGATGACCTCTGGTACGAAAACTAACAGCACAAACACTACATCTGAATGGCCTCTCCATGTAGTGTATGTTTAGATGCAACCGTAATTGTGACGGTTTCGTGAATGTTTTGTTGCAGAAATCACAAACTCTACGGCCATCTTCCATAAGTTTTCCTGGTGAATAGGAAGCCGAGCCTTCAAATTCTTTCCCTTTGGTCACTTTAAATACTCCCCCGACTCCGATCACTACTTTTGAAGCTACGGGATCGTATTCTGATGAAGATAATTTCATTCCATCACAGTCTGAAACCTCATCTACTTTTGTCTTTTCTTCTATGTTTATTTTACCACTGTTGCTCTCGTCACTGGATATATCTAAGTGGTTAGGATCATCGAGAGTTTTCATATGATTTATCCTAGCATGTTTTAAATATTCGGACACGACATGTTTAGCATTTTCTGGATTGGAGTTATTAGGTGTACGGGCTCGGGATTCACTCGTTAGATTCAAACAATTCTGAGAATTATCAACGGAAACTGACTCATCTTTAGAAAATGCTGTTGTTGTTGTAATAGTTTCAAGAACATTTCTTGGAGTCGGAATTTCCTGTTCAGCGGTTTCTTTTTCAAGATATAAAGAATTTTCGAGATCAATCTTCCTTATTTTAGAATTACATGTTAATTGGCTCTGTTTTATCTTAGAATCTAAAAGTGCCCTTTCTGTTAGATACGTGTGCAACATCGGCTCTCCATTGGTCCACTGTGATTGATGATGTGGAAGCTTAGCTGTATTAGAAGCCAAACAGGCCATGACGCTAGATTCTCTCTCAGTAGGAATTTCCATAACGCTCGTTGGAGTTCTTAATTCATTTTTACTGAGATCCATGGGCTCATTGTCCATATCTATTCTAGAATCAGTAGAGGGTGTTCTTATGCTCTCAACTTTATCTTGATCAACATCTAACGTATTTTCTAATAACATAGGAGTGTAGGGGTAAGTTGTAGGCCTAGCGCTAGTTATTAAGCCCGGAGTGGCTGAGGTGGCAGGTCTACTGCCGCCGAGAGACAGCAAGCAGTGTGCAGCCTCGTGTTCCGGCAGGCGAGATTTAAAAACCTCTGTATCTGTAAAATGAGATTTAATTTGGGTAAATAAATAAATTTCTTTACACTATAAAAAATGTGTGAGGAATTTAATAGAGGTTAATAATTTAAAAGTATATATAGAATAACTTACCACTGGATTCTGTTTCACCCTCATTTCCTTCATCACCATCTGAATCCGTTTCATCATCAGTTTCACCTGAGCACTGCGCCATTTCAGAGCCTTCGGCATCGTTCCCTTCATTCGGATTTATTCCTAGCTCACAGCACTTCTTATAATGTGCCTTGCTTTTCATATGTTTTGTTAAATTCCCCTTCGTCTTGAAACTGTAATTAAAAATATGGTTATTAAAAATATATATTTTTAAATCATTTATACTTGTAAATAATTTATAATTCCTGAAATGTATTAAATATTTCAGTTAAAAAATATGTATACCTAAAAACACAATGGACGCACGTGTACGGTCGGACGTCAGTGTGTGTCCTGATATGTTTTTTCAGCATTGAAGGTTTTTTGCATCTTATTCCACATTCTGAACAAACGTAACGTCCTCTGCCACGTCCGCGGACATACGTATATTCCTCGTTACTTTCGAATCCACCAGTCAATTCTTTCTTGGATGTAGCTGTGTTATCGGAAATATTTTTTATCTCCTCCGATTTTTTAGAGTCTACAGAAGTTATCACCTGCGAACCAATTAATGTTTTTACAAAGTGATCTTTCGAAAATAATCGTTCAAATGTCTGACACATACGTTTATAAATAATTTAATTTATTATTGAATATAAGTATTTTTTCCATATCTACCTGTTTGCCGTCCTTCGAATTTTTATTCCATTGCGATGAATGAGTCAGAATCAGATCCTGTTTGATTACAGAAACGGCCAAGCTCTGCGGTCTGTGACGTGAGTCATACAGAGACATAGCAGACGAAGCTGACAATCCCAGCGGGTCTGGCGTCAACTCAGATAATAACTGTAAACATTGTCATCCATATATAACACACAATAAACTTTGTTTACGTCCAGTCAATAATTATAAAATAACTACCTGCCAGTTACTGTACATGGATAGGAAATGCTGGTTCGGTACGTATGTGGGCTGTGGGCGATTGATAGTGCAATAAAATACTTTTGTTGAACATTTCAAACCCAGATAGGTATATGCATTTCCGTTTAAATAAAGTTGTCCGTATGCTTTTGCTGGGCGTGGGGTTTCTGGTGATACCAATGGCATCGTGTTTGCATTGGGCGTTATACCGTGATGTCTTTTTGGGGTAAACGTGCCCGGTTTTAACGGTAGAGTGGATGGTCTGAGAAATTTCGGTTTTCTCTCTTCAGAATTAGATTTCGATATTGAACCTTTCTGAAAATAAGATGTCTCTGACCTTTCATTTTGCACTGAAGTCACGAAGGTTTCTGAAACATTACTGTTCCTATCGACGTCGGTTTTATTTTGAATTTGATTATTATATATTTCGGCTTTAGTTATGAAGTTTTCGAAATTGAAATTCTTTATATCATTCTCAGCTTTTATATCGATAACTTTATGAGACGGATGAATCTGAGAGTCTTTATTTTTGTTCTTATTAAATGTATTGATCATATTTTCCTTTAATACGGGATGTTTGGGTATTCCATCGGCATTTCTCTTAATCGATTTTAGAAGACCACTAGAAGAGAAATTCTTTAATATAGGTTCATCGACATGTTTTATTTTAATTATTGGCATTGAAGACATGTTCTGAATATCTGTATCTTTGTTAATAATATTATGTTCTGCTTCCATACTCATCGATCTGATGTTTGGGCTTCTTGAGTTATTAGGAATCCTATCGTAGTTTGATATAACACTTCCTTTTCCCGTAGATACATTAAGAGTTAATAAATGTTGATTATTGTCAGAGGTCGTTTTCGTAACACTTTTATGACTATCATTGCTTTTCATTTGCAAATTGCTGTTTGTCATGAATAAACCAGGTGTATTAGGTCCTGGTATTCCGGGAACATGAGGTATGAGTTTGCCGCCATGCATAATAGTAGTTGCACCGTTTGGTGAAGGAGATGGACTTAGAGGCGGCAATGTTAATGGATTATAAGCTGTTATAGCACTCAGCGGCGGAAACTGGAAATGTGGAATATCGTGAACGTGTACATTCGTGTTTTGACCGTTCGGGGTTGATGACGCAACTCTAGGAGTTTGAACTTGATGATTATTAATAGTTTCCTTTGGTGTTGGTGGATTATGTACAATAGTGCCACCGGAGTGAAGGCCCGATCTTACAACGACACTACTTGCCTCAGAGTCACTCGAAAATTTAGACGGCGAAAGATTTTGGTGGATTAGAATAGGTGATAGCTGCGTTTTACTAGGCTCGATTCGAAGAGTTGTAGTGCTGCCAGAATGATCTACTATCTTAACTTCACCTCCGAACATTTGAAGTGATGTAGAATTGTGTCTTATATGTGGCGATATTTCTTCAATAGTTCTCAATGACGGAGAGTTAATATCAACACACCTTATTTTCGAATGAACGTACAAATCAGCTGAACGGGGCGATATATTTTCTATAAGTCTCGGACTATTAGTTTCTGATCTACTGTCGAACCTTCTTTTGGGGCTACATTCTTTTGTTTTTAACTTCAAACCTTCCGTTTTCTTATTATATTCTGAAGGTAGTCTGCTATCAACAAGTCTAGTGTTACCAAGTAACGGCCCTGGTGATGGTAGCGGTGCTATCACGTCGCTACATTCCGTTTTCAATATGACAAGATTATCGGGTTTGTTTTTTATTGGTGGTGAATTCATTAAATAATTCACTTTAGTTGCTGACGCACTTGTTTCGGGCAACCTCACGTTTATGGAATTACTTCTCACGTAACCATTATCTGGTCTGACATATTTTGCTTCTTTTGGGACATTACCAGATAAATTGCAATTATTTGTGAGTGCACCTTTGCAATAGTACGACCTGTGAATTTCTAAATTGTCTGCACTTCTATATACTATTTGACATTGTGAACACACATATAGTGGCCCTAGCCCATCCACTAGTTCACCAGCCAAGCTATTGGTCGAGTTTAATCCATTGGCTTTAGTTTTTAGCAAAAGATCCTTTATTATTGATCCCTCTGGATTTAACGGGTGCTTGTGATCTTCAGAAGTCAGTGCAAAACTTTCCGAATGTGATCTTTTTCTTATCAAGCTCTCCGATTCGTAACTGTTTTTTGTTAAATTTAAAGGCGTCACTTCGGATTTTATATCGATTTCCGTTGAAAATTGCTTACTCTCAGCAATTTGTTTAATTTTACCATACTTTTTCTGTAAAGGGGTTTCAATAACATCAACAATGGCCTCATTATCTGATATAATTTTAGAGATATGTTCTGTAAGAAACTCAGCATTGTGTGAAATACTCTTTTTTATCTTATCTTTATCATCATTTCCCTGATATAACGCTGCTCTGAACTTGGGCTTGTAAATTGTTTTAGATTTATGGTCATTATAAGAATTTGAGCTGATCTGTGTATTGCCATCGCTAGCTAGCTCGGGGGAGGAAAAATCATTAGGCCTCGTGTTGAGGAAGCGTATCAGAGAAGCGTCCGAGGTAGGATCCGACATAAAAGTTGGTGTAGACGAAGTATCACTTTCGGAACCCCCAGACAAGTCCTCTTCATTAATAGCAACTGACACATCTGCTCCCTGCGATCGTAGAGCATGCGTCCTTGACCTCTTGTGCTTGTATAAATTAGATTTAGTTTTAAAGGCAAAGCCACAGGGTATACATGGATACGGTCTCTCATTCGTATGAGCCCTGATATGTTTCTGTAGTACTGATGGCTTGGCACATGGTAATTTACAATACGGACAGATGTAACGGCCAGTACCTCCACTGTAAGTGTCTTTAGTTACATCGATTTCACCGTTTTCAGTCTTATTTAAAAATTCATCATTATAACTGGTCTTACCAGTTATTTGAACATAGTTATTAACACCACTTAACCTACAGATTTCATCATTATAATTAGTTTGTACAATATTATCTGTTTCTATACCTCTGTTCGCGTATTTATCTTTAATTTTCTCTATTTCTGGATGAGCGGCTGAAATGGTTCCATTTTTTAGGTTTGGACTGCCTGTGATCTGTGAAAATCCTAATTCTTTATGCACACTCTCTTCACTTTTCATAGAATTCACAGGAAGCACCGATATTGGCGATGCCATTTTCTTGAACTTCTTGTGAAGGTAACTGTGATCATTGCTATTGGGAAAATTGTCCATTCGCTTTTCCTGAGTCAGCGGCATCTTGTACGCGACTTTTGTACCTGGAAAGAAAAAATCCTAATATTAATAAACATATGATAAAAAAAATTTACTACATTTAATCGAAACATATCAAAATAAAATATAGTATTTTTAATTACTAAGTCGCTTTTATTACGCAACGTAAAACAAAAAAAAATCGTAAATTATGATTACTTAACATTTAAATACTTTCACTTCTACAAATAGCAAAAAAAACATAGTTACTTTTCACTTTAAATGTCACACTACATTGCCATTTTACGCTGTAGTATTCATATTTTTATTGTAATACAACTTGTGAAACACCGTACGTATGAACACGCAAACTAAATAAGTCTGAATATAACATTTGTAATGGACCAAATAAGAATGAAACTTGATTATTCATACAGAAGTTATCAATACTAAGGTAAAGGCACCTATGTTGGACGCGGACCAGTCTTGGACAATTTTTGACTTTTCCTCCAAAATTAAGCAAAGACGCTGAATTTTATTTCAAATGACAACACGGGTCTGTTGAGTCAACACTGTAGTGGACATACCAACTGTTTTTAACAGCCTACATCCATTTGGATGGCGGCTATATAAGTTTTTTGTAGCGCGGCGGCAGTTGGTGCCGGAAATCGTAATTTATTAGAAGAATCGTGTTGCGAGTAAGTACAGTTATCGTCTTGTTATGTGTCAGGTGTATCTTTATTGTTGAAATTGTTATTATTTAGTGATTTATCAATAGTAGTACATTTATTTTATAATATGACACAAAATGTCATTGTGATTTAAACCTTTGAATTACCGGTGTCCATAACTGGATATTATTCAAGCACATACACCCAATCATGTACAGAGTGTCCATAAAGGGAACTTCCTGATTTTTATTATTTTTCATGTATCATACGTCTGTACTAATATATCTTCATGTTTCTCTAGAAAACTGAAATTAATTTTTTGTCTATCCAATAATGGACATTCTGTCCATGACTGGATGTCTGTAATAGGTTCAACATATTTTTAATACAAACAAATCTTTTTTTCCAACCAGAAATGGCACTTAGGAGAAAATATCTGTTGCCGCTACAAGATACGGAGTCTCAAGGATAACATTACATAATAAAATTACCGGGAAAAGTCGAATTGATTGTAATCTAGGTCCAACTACGGAACTCACCTACGAAGAAGCATTTAACGAGTTTCTTCTCGTAAAATGGATAACATTTATGGGTGAAAAACATTTTCCTGTCTACAAAGAACAATTGCTTGATAGTGTCCAAAAAATTATATTTGAGAAAAAGTTAGATTCCTGTCCGTTCACAAAATATACCTAAACCATTAACCAGTTATATTATTCTTGGACGGCCATAGGTCACACATGACACTGCATCTGTCAGATTTCTGTAAAAATAATATGATTGAAGTTATCTCTACCCGAACTCGACTCATCTGCTTCAGCCGATGGACGTTGCGGTGTTTAGGCCTTTAAAGGTAGCATGGCAGAATCAGGTGAAGACTTGGAAAATGGGTAATCCGAATCAAACAATGAAAAGAGAGCATTTTGCTCCAAATTTTGAGACAGCTTTACAAAATATTTCGACAGACACCATAAAAAACGGATTTCGTAAGAGTGGGCTTTTTCCCTTTGGTCCAGAGTATGTGGATATGAACAAAATAAGCTCACAAAATCGTGCAACTGTTTCCACATCAGCAATAGAAAAGAAAATTAACACGACAAAACAGTTTATAAATACTTTAGAATCAGAAATCCTTATTATTTTGAAAAGATTATTACTGTCCATTGATGGCTGTTCATATTTAGATTATGTCCATGAATGGGTGTCCTATACTGGATTATATCTGTCCATTAATGGTGTCTAAGTAGGAGTGTAGTTTATTTACAATATTTTATTGTACTGAGTACCAAACTAAAATTAAACATGGAATACTGATTGAAAAAAGAGCTTTTTATTTACCTTCTAATGCCAAAGAATATATATTGAAAAATGAAGAAGTTACAAAGCAAATCTCTAAAAATATCGCTTATACTGTCCATGACTGGTGACTTTACCTTATGTGACGTATCCATCTATTGAAATTTACTAAACTAAGACTTAGAAGAAGTAAATTTAATATAACACATAAACATTCAGGCGAAACAACACAATGATCGTGGTACGCCGACTGTTTGACGCAAGGCGCATGTGCTGCTTTTTGTTTTCTAATAGTACAATGTGACATCATCGTGACGTAAGCACGAACTTGCGCTTTACGGACGAGGATATCCCCGTCTCTCATCATCTGTTAACAGCTACAACTTTCATTTTGTTGGCCACTTAAGGTCGAATTTTACATACTTAATTTACATTCATTAAAAATTCCATGTACCAACTTGATACCTACGCGTTTTAATTAAAGTTAATATACTGTGTAAAACATCACAGTAAATAATAATTAAATGGAATTAAAATTAAGGTATTAACGAAACGAGTAGTCAGTGAGATATAAGAATGCCCGTATCCAAGTGTAGGTGTATATCAAGATACAATCCAAATGCGTGCAGTGGTACGAGTGACGACCTCGGTTTGCGATCACTCGAGGCATTTGTGGAGGGCTGCGTTGCTGCGTTCTAAGAAGGCGTTACAATTTCTGAGAACCGGAGACAAGCAAGCCGCACTGCTCGTTTATAACAAACGAGCAAATAAACGCAGTACGCACGACGCACACAAATGTAACTCACGACTATCTTACACTCGTTTAATTATTATGTATTATTCATATCGTTGAGTATATGCAAATTGTATGTATTTATTTTATACATCGAACTTCATGGAGATATGACAATCAAAAATGCCAATTTTGGGCACCATTCTATTTTTAAAAAAAGTTTTAGAGAACTAGAGACAAAGGAATCCCAATAGTTAGCAGCCGCCCGCCGCCCGCCGGCCTGGCGCCAAGCCAGGCGGCCCTGGCGACGCTTGTGTCTACGCCAGCATGCCGCCTGCTTGTATTATCCCTGCTTTTCTTTCAATAACGTTTCGACCATATATGATGCTTATGGACAGATGATTTCTATAATTGCGACCGCTAGTAGACGTTTACTAGGTATATTATTTATCCACATAACGGATATGAAATCACATCATCGCTGTACTGATATAATTACATTGTGTATATTTATAGTGGAAATTATATTTACCAAAGCAGTGTAGTTATCGCGTATGAATAATGATTTGAATAATTCATTTAATGCCCTTTAACATCACACTAAGATTTGCTTTCATGGTTATAACTGATATGTATAATTTGCTTATTGTAAAAGAGAGTTTGAGACGAATAAAATTTTATATTTGTTGTTGGCTAATGGACATTATTAATCACTTATAACTACACCCAATCATTGTATAAATCTTTTTGACTGTTACGTTATAATATTATGAACATCTGAAATGTAGTTATCAAATATTTAACAATAATACATATATTAATCTTGCATCTTACCGGCCGCGGTTTAAAAATCAATCCACCATTATAATAAGGACTATTCCTGATATCATTTGTTTACTTCTTCCGAACATATGTCAACAAGTCCGATAGGCTGCAATTCACCCGCTCGCAAGTGAATCATCGTTAATAATTGCGCGACGATCCACGCCACGACATACACACACTCGTATACACCTTCAATAACGTCACACCTCACACTTGCACCACTTCACTGCAATGCAATTTCTTTCACGTCGTTTTTTAACAAATATCTATATTTATATATATTTTTCTTACTTATCTAGTAACCGTGACAATATTTCGTATGTTAAACGAACATTACACAAACATACGACGCACGTTACCGCGCCGCGCCTGTCTTCAACTGTTTTTAGTTGTACTTTGTCGTTGGCTCGTTTCATTTCGTTCCGTTCGTTCGACTATACGCTCCCTGCCGCCCGCTTCCCTCCGCCGCCTCCCCTCTCCTCTCCTCTCTCACTTTGCTAGTGTATGCTCGCTGTACAGAAGTGATTCATGGTGGGCTCTATCTGTCTCCCTCCAACGCCGCAACCGGATCGGTCGCCCGACGTAATCTATTTATACGTATCTATGCACGGACTTTAACACTACGATTGCAGTGCCGACTTTTATGAAGAAGAGATAAAAATAATTATGCAAAAATTATTATGTTCAATCAAAACATACATTGAGTAATTACTCCATGTTTATTTAAATTTTGTGAAAACATTTAATTTGACCTTCATACATAAATGTATTATTCCATATAAATTCTTTTAGTTGGTGCACGTTAAGAATATAAATACGTGAGTATTATCGAGGTACTATAATTCAAGCAATTAAATTTCCAATCGGTAGCTCAAATCGTATAATTTTCATGGAGCAGTGATTTCGTAACGGTTGCGCTCGACTAGAACGGGTATTTGCTTTATATGCCACTGACAAACATAAGTACATTTACTTACAAATCTTAATCCATAACAATCTCCCAAAAACAATGCCAAAAATATAAACGTATTTACACCTTTTCTATTATCATAGTCTAACTGGAAATTAATATAAATTCCCCATTAATATTAAATACCTATTTGTTTAAATTTTAAAATGAATAACCCAATACTATAGCTGGTATTTACCGACATAAGTATAAGTTATCAGCTGAACTCGATATCGCTTAGACCTCTTTATCAAATATCTGCTCGGACCTATTCATAAACACGGCTCCAAAGACAAATAAGACAAAACCATCATAATAATGTTAATATTTAGTTATTCGACTGGCAGATGATAAGTTCCAACGGAGAAACTCCTCGGCACTCGAGTCAGATAATATGAATGTATAAACACATAATTTGCAATGATAATTCCAGGCGTTATCAGTTGTGCGGAGGCGATGACGCACGCGCTGTGTCGATAGCGCGCACTTACTCGATTCTTGCCAAGGAACGGAGAGCGATACATCAAATTATTATACATATTTTATAACCATTACACTTACATTTAAATAAATTAGAATGGAACTATAATGCAAGGCATTGTAAGAAGCTTACTTACTATAATATATAAATTACGTTTCAATGATAAAGATTTTAAATATAAGACAGTAATATTTATATATTCAATAATAAAGAGGATGCGAGGGCGCTTTAATACGAAGCACTTGTTGCTCTGTTTGGTTGTCGTTTCGCCTGTTGCTGGTTTGCCACGTCAGAGCGTGGCCTTGAATCGCGAGTCATTAGGGTAGTCTTCCAATGTTATTGTTTATCGTATAAGACTTTTACGGTATTGTTACCATTATGACTAGACTATTGACACGTATTCAAACAAACAATATATTGTGCTCGTATTATATATTATGTTAATGAATGTGTTATTATCATAAGGTTAAAAATTATGATGCAATACATTTTTTAATAACAATAACATGAAACGATTCCTTTGGAAGAATATCGAGTGAATGTGTTAGTCCGGTCAGGCGCCATAAAGTCGCGTGGGCGGGAAACCCGTCTTGATGGCAAGCGTTGAAATGAACACATTATTTATCTACCTAGATACTTTATATAGTAACACAGAATGTTATATGCACGCTTGAGTACATCGGATAGAAAATATGAAATGCTATTTAATTATAAATTCGAATGACGAGATGTATAAGATAGATGAATTATTTAATAAGTTAGTTCAAGTGATAGTGATGTAACCATTAAGTGACCGTATCCCCCTCCTACGCGGGCTTCCCTCGGATCCAGGTCAACGGTTGGTGTTCTCAGGCTGACCGCTATGTGGCGCCGCGCTGCTGCGACGGCCTGGGGCCGCGCCCCGACATCGCTCTTCGTTTTAGGTGTTCTTTACACTACGTAACACCTACTTATTTATATTAAGTTAATCGATAACGGACGAATGGCACGCACGCAAACGCAGAGGAATTTAATGAAAGTTTTAACATATTTATATCGCACACACTTTGTAGTTTGTAGCGTTTTAAGTGGGATGCAGTGAATTCACCTGCTTCAATACATGTCCTTTACTGTGTCATTGTCTTTCACTTTGCTTAGTTAGATTTTACTTAGGTAGATAACATATATAAATTATATCCAATTTTTCAGTTTTATCAATTGCCATCAAAGGATTATAAAAATAAACAAATTATTGTTCGATACCAGAACGGACGTCATCAATATCGCTTTATCATAGAATGGTTTTCCGTTCAAATTATCTTTACTATTTTGCGAATCAATTAAATACATATATCAAAAATTATTTCGTAGAAAATATAACATCGTTCTTTTAGCTTGCATCTAGAGTCGTATATGCCACGCATGTGTTAATTATGATAATAAAGTTAGTGAGTCAGAACCAGTCACAATTGACCAAATAAATTATTATTTGTCTTAGCTCTTTCCATATTGTGACGATATTTGCAAAGGTTATATGTAAATAGGTGTTGCCCACCAGGACGTGTAGGCATTTTTGCTCACTTAAAAAAAACAGCTTCAATGATCTCATAAATTCCGATGTATATTTATTGTACATTTTTCTCAAAGCGAATCGCTTGGTACGTAAATAGATTTGGCGTATGTCCCTTTCACTGCTAATGCACAGTTGGAATGACTGAAACAAGCTGGACGAAAACTTGAACAATTGCCAGGTCTCGGATTTGGGAAGGTGTTCCCGCTTCCGAGATGCATTCCGTTCATCGTTTATATAATTTGTTATAACGTATTTATTATTTAACATTAATCGCAATTCCATGTCGCTACCAAACCTTATCTCTGTTATACTTCTCGTATTATTAGCAAATATCTAATTAATTGACCTATTTGTCCTTGATTTTGTTTTCCGTTTAACATATTCTTTCAAGGGACTAAATGTCACAATGCAGAATGAACTCTATAATAAGAATAATGTCAGATATGGCGCGTAAAAATCCTCGTTGACATAATCAATTTAAATTTAGCGAGAGGACGCTCACGAATAAACAATTCAACGGCCAACATATGGGGAAAGCCAGTTTATTTCAAGTCCATAAGTATTTGCATGTAGTCTACATACCTTAATAATAAATTTTAAACAGAAGCACATTTATCAGATAACATTTACATATGTATTTATATATATAGGTAAGTATATATATGTATATTGATTCATCTGACAGCCCGAGTCGCTGTATAATCTACATTCAATGCTATATACATTAACATAATATATATCATGATGATAATATTGAATCACTATCACGTTTTTGCGCCATAATTCTGTAATATCATAAGTTATACTCATTCGGTGATAATGATAGCAGTGATAAGAGATAGCGAAATTAAAACTGTTATTGAGGAAAATAAATTACACATCATTTCTGGAAAGAAAATACATATTGATAAATTTATTACTTTTTTTTTAAGGTGCAAAACTTGTCATCGGGCAAATATCTACATTTTAAAGCCCAAATAAAAGTAGGTTTTTTATGACTAATTTAATGATAATAAATGATTATAAATTGACATTTCACTCATCATATCTATTTACTACGTTCATTGCGTACTACATATAAGATTAGATTTTTGCATACTTAAATATTTATCATTGTTATTTTATCTTTGTCTTGATATTCGATATGAAATAAAGTTTGCAAAACGCCTAAACGTGCGAAGCATAATGTTCTTTGGCTTGTAACAAACTTTTTTTTAGACTTTGGCAAAGGAGGATTGTTTGTTGTTTTATGTGTGAGGACGTTTAAAAGCTTGTTCCTGTCTAGTTACTAAGATAGACTAATCCGACAAAATGTAGGTACATTTTTAGATCCGTCTAGCGTCGTTGTCATTTGTCACTGGATACATTAAATATGTCAAAGTCAAATTCTGAAGTTTGGATAAAATAGAATATGTTTTTCTAATAAAACTAATTAAATGATACAATCATATATAGACTTAATGTATTTGAATGACAATAACAAAAAAATCGAATACTCATATCATAGTATTTTAGATTGAAAATAAAAGATAAGGTTCCTCGATGACAAAATAAATAAAACTACCAAATATTTCAGAACAATTCATATAAAATTTATTCAAGTTCTAGTAAAAGCAGTTAGGTTTTTTCTTAATCATTTTCCATTAACAATAGAATTAATAACATATCATAATAAATATAAAGAAATTAATTATGATGACTCTTGAATATGATTTAATAGAATTTAATTTAAGTTTTCATATACTAGAAATTATTATTTTTTTTGCTACAAAACAGTATATTATAGTATATAATTACTTACTAAGGTATATTAGTGGCTGGTTAATGGTATACCATTACATATATTATGATCTATATTATAAACGTTTTTGTTACAAGTAGCCTCGGCTTCCCTTATTACCAAATAATCTCGTTTTATTAAATACTTATCCTTTTATTAGCTTCTAACAACATCTTTCACTACAAAAATGTTGCCTTATTCGCAATAATAATATAAGATGAGAATATTTTTAAAATAAATTATTAAAATTGAAAAAAAAGTAATCACTAAAACGTTTCCTTTTAATTTTGACTTAATTTATTCAAAGTATTAGCTTCAGTATATAACGTAACATATTTAAAATTATAATTAGTTAAAAGCCTTTTAATGATATAAGTACACGTCATTCAAATATACCAAATTGTAATGATTTAATAACAATAATTGAATACTTCTAATTGCAAAGAGGTTATTATGGATGAGGTTATATATATATGTATAATTGGAATTGCGTTTCCAATTCCGTAAAGTGTCTATTAGGCAAGATAGTTTTGCCGATCTGTCTGGAATCTGAACTGGATGTGATCATGTTCTGCAATTACGCCATTATTTGATTTGTTGAAACAAGTTACGTCATCACTTGAACGCAATTTATAATACCTACATTCACTGATT